AAGAGAGGCATGTTTAATCCCATACTGTGGAACATTCTCGGAAAAGCAATATCAGTGTTGGACCCTGGACCCAGTGTTCCATAGTGCAACTTTAACCTACTTACATATATGAATTCATTATGCTTTTGTTTTGGGTGTACACGCTCTGAACTATGATTAAAAACGAATAGTTAAGGATAAAGCCGTTGTCAGTCCTGTTATATTGTGAATGACTCTGCACCTGAACTTGCCCGGTGCCCCTGCTAGTGGACACATCTCATTTGCAGCAGAAATCTCCATAACACTGAAGTACAATGTTTCGCTGGCTGCTCCTCCAAAGGCCAGCGTTCCCTCCGGCTGCTCCTATATCTGCTCTTCAGTTTTCCTTTATGGTCAGGATTAAAGTCAACCAGTGGACTGAAACATCTGCAGAAGGGGGCACGTTTCTGGTCATTTCCCTCTTTACTAAACCACCTCATCTGCATTTCAATACATAATAAAGCAGGAAATGACAAATGGACAAAAGGTTTCGAAATTTAGACTTACAATGTCGTCACTTCTGCTACAACGTTTATGACACTATTGTCATTATCTATATCTTCTCAGTTTCCATAAATAATGATATTTCATTTTTTATTTTTGGTTCTTTTGGTTCCCTTTTCCTTTCTATCCTCCACTTCTCTTTTCGCATAGCAGGAAAACAGTGATTTCTGAAGAAGTGGGGCAATAGTGACTTCAAACTTGAATGTTTTTGGTCAGTCTAGTGTCCATATATACTGCTGAATGTAACTGTAATGATATAATCACTGCAGTATATTCAGTGTTGGGGAATAATGGATTACATGTACCGGAGTTACGTAATCAGAGTACAAATTATGAGTAACTGTATTCGGTTACAGTTACTGTTTCAGTGAGTGGTAATTGGATTACAGTTACTTTGTTGAAATAAATGGATAACACGGCAGTATTTTCCTGTTTTATTTTCCTGGCTATACCCCCCCTTATTTTTTTTTATTTTTTTATTTTTTCTGTAATTCCACTCATTGCCGGAAACTAAACCAGGTCCAAACTAGATCTAAACCATGATTAAACCAGGACTAAAACCAGATCTAAACTAGAGCTAAACCAGGTTTAAAACAGGTCTAAAACCAGGTTTAAAACCAGGACTAAACCAGAACTAAACACGGACTAAACCAGGATTAAACCAGGGCTAAACTAGGGCTAAACCAGGACTAAAACAGGATTTAACAGGACTAAACCAGATCTAAACCAGACCTAAACTAGGTCTAAACCAGGACTAAACCTGAACTAAACCTGAACAAACCCGGACTAAACCTGGACTAAACCCCGACTAAACCAGAACTAAACCAGGGCTAAACCAGGACTAAAACATGATTTAACAGGACTAAACCAGGTCTAAACCAGGTCTAAACTAGGTCTAAGTCAGGTCTAAACTAGGTCTAAACTAGGTCTAAACCAGGACTAAACCCGGACTAAACCCGGACTAAAACAGGACTAAACCAGGACTAAAACAGGACTAAAACAGGACTAAAACGGGACTAAATCATGCTGCATGGACGTGTCTCCTCTTCTATCAATAATATTTTTAATACTGTTAAGTAAAATCTGGGCTTTTCATTTTCTTTTAGCAGACAAAGTATTCAGATTAAGTTACTCATTTTAAGTAATTTAATGGTCTACGTTACAAACTACATTCTGGGGTATGTAATCTGTAATCTGTAGGGGAATACATTTTAAAAGTAACCTTCCCAACACTGAGTATATTTGATATGTTATAGATTACAATATACAAGAGTATAAATCAACACTGTGATACCAACAGTTTTCCTCATGTAAAGCCTTAGAGAAACAAAAATGCAAAATTGTATAAAAAACAAAAGAAGATATTTAGTTTATGTTGTTTCAGTTACTTTTGTTTATTTGTTTTTCTTTCTTTTATCACAACTGTTTAGTAGTTTTCCAAATTGCCTCTTTGGTTTCAGAACGCTGCGGACTCTAAATATTTTTTTCTGGGAATCAAATCCATATGAGGGAGTTTTGGTTCCAGTTTAAGTGCTTCATTTCTCATTTCTCATTAATTACTTTATATCCATTTCTCACTTACCATAAATTGTGTTATTTCAGATTTTTATTTATTTATTTTTGTCATTTCACATTCTCTTCTCCACTTCTGCTTTCACCAGAAAAACAAGAATTCTCTGGCAGTGGGATGGTAAAGTGGTTTGAGAGCTTATTCATCAACTTGAACGTCAGATGATAGATTCTCGCTCAGATCGACTAGTGTTGTTGTGTCCTTAGGCAAGACAGTTCAGCCACCTTGCTATAGGATGTGTGAGTGAGTGAGTGAGTGAGTGGTGGTTGCTGCAGGGGTCAAGATTCCATCAGTCTACCCCAGTTTACCACCACCCCTCTTGAAGGGAATGAATAATGACAATGTGATGCTTTGAGAAGTTTGTAAATGTCTGTAAAAAATTGCTCTTGTGAGACAGATCAGTGCCATGAATATTACTACACAGAGGTCTTATATAGATAATGTGGATTACAATATTGACCCATGTCTCTGGTGCCACTTTTGCATTTTTTCAATTTGAAGGTTGTAGAATCCTTGGATTTTTTTTTTCTGGAAATCAAATCCGTGTGAGAGAGTGTAGTTCCAGTTGAAGCGCTTCATTTCTCTCAAGCACACTCTGATCTTGTTCAGTTTGGAAAAAATACATTATTGCTATTGCTGGAAGAGCCTGAACCACAGTTTCCCAGAGCCCCTCCTCCAGGACTCGCTCCGTGCTCTATGGTGTCTCAGAGATATTTGTTTTGGACTGGCTTTGGCCCCGGGTCAAACTGAGATCCTGCTACAACCCGCTGTCGTTTGGATCAGGTTCAAATGGCCTCACATCACAACGGTTCCTATAAGCTCCAGTTATGATTCTATAGGTGAGAGAGAGCCCCGACTGGTCCAACCGGAGTCAGCCCTCACACACATGTTCTGACACTGTGCACCTCATAAAGTGTCAGGTACAACGGAGCTATGTGCAACTGACTGTCATGTATGAGGCATTAAGCAGCAATGTGTGGTTCATGGGACTAGGAATGCTTTCATCATGGAACTTGCATAGAAATGCAGACCTATAGACACTCACAAAACCCTATAGCGTCTCTTTCTGTTGATGACTTGTTAGGAGCTGATATGAAGATGCTTCTGTAAAACTGTAATTGCTCTCAGTTACTAAGATTTGACCATAGATAAAGCGGCATCCCTCATGGATACAGTTGAAAACACTTTTGACTGTGACCTTTTTTGAATATTTTTGAATATGAATATCAGTCTATATAAGAAATAGCTCAGTAACCAATCAGTCAGTAAGAATATAAAACGCTACCCAATAAATTATTCTTAAACTAAAATTTGCAGTCTATAGTAATCTTTTTAAAGAAGCCTTGCAAACCCAAGTATCACCTGAAAAAGGGACGTCATCACAATTTGATCCCAGCAGGTTGATTAGTTTGTTATTAAAGGATATATGCAAAACTCTTGAGCAATAATCTTTGCCCCTTTTCCATTGACTTACTAAACTGAAATAACTGAAGTCTTTCAGGGTGTGCACACTCAATATAAAGCTCTTTTATGGATTTAAACCATCAATCTTCACTGGGACATCTCTCTGTTAACGTCAATAATAGTCAAGCGTGCTGTCTTTTATTTTTGTTTCAGATTGCATAGTTCTCACATTGTCCCCAAAAGCTTGAATGATAAATATAACGTTTTGTATTTATATTGATTTGTATTTGTTTTGGATTTCATTTTGTATTATAATTGATGAGTGTGAAATGGATGCATAAGAAACATATGAAAGAAACATATTTAAAACATATGTTTGCTTTAAAGAGAAGAAAACATAACTGATGTAGAGACAAGTTGTACAGATGAAACAAATCTGGAGTAGTACAGAGATGATCACGTGTGTTTATGGGGAGCTGCTGCTGTCACTGTGTTGGAGTCACCCTGAGGTCCACGCCCAGGTCTCCTCTGTACCTTCCTCTCTCCATCTGTCATAATATTTTCTCAGTCAAACATCTGCTGGAGGAATGTGGAACAGCCCCACTTCCTGTCAGCGACACACCTTTGGGCCCCAGCCCCTCACTTGGTCTACACTCTGAAACTGTACACAGTAAATACGTTTAAAAGAACCTCCTCCCTATCACCAATACAGAGAGATTAATCACCAGAGAATCTAATTTAAAATTTACTAAAATGATGCTTTATTGTGACATTTTTTTGTCTTTCTAATTCCTAATAATAATAAAACTAAGGTCACTAATTCTGGAGGGGATTAAAAAATAAATAAAAACGAGCATGCACTGTCAGTTCAGACAGACCCTGTGCCAATGAATCTTAAGATGCATGACTAAAAAATTTTTTTTTAAAAAGAGTAAGCTTAATTGTCTTCAATATGTTTGCATTCATTATTCTCATTAGATGTGCAAATTAGTTACCTTATCAAATAAACCCGAGTGCACTGCGCTTATTGTATTATGGTGTTATAGCGCCATCTAGTGGATATATTAACTTTTTTTTTTTTTTAAGGATTCCTAAATAAACTATTTTATTGTAGTTCAAATTCATATAGTGTTTATTATTAGCAAATTAGCTAAGAATGTGTACAGGACAAAGTGCTCTCATTTGTGGAAATAACACACTGACACAGAAACTCCTTTAGCAGGATTTATAAGTTTTTTTGCAATTGTTTACATAGTAATTCTGCATGATCAAAAAGGTAGGATTTTGGGGAGGTTATAATAGACAAATATTATATGTGCAAAATATATTAGTTCTCTGTTCTCTGAGTGTCCAGGAGCATTCTACACATTTTGGAGCAGGATCTTCAGGAGTACATAGCTGGTGAAAACCACATCACTACTACAGAGTACACAGACACTCTTGTGTCTGGGGATTGAACCTGGGACCTTGTAGCACTGAGGCTAAAGCCTATGCTGTATGGCTATCAGTGCAGGGCAGGGGGCGGGGCCATACTCCTCCTCAGCTCCTCGATGTCCCGTCTCAGCTGAGACACTTCATGCAGCTTCATCATCAGCTCCTCATCTTCTGGTTCTCTGGTGTCACTCTCCTCCATGGACAGACTCAGGGCTGAAAGGAACCACACAGTCAATACAAATCTACAATTATGCATCTATGGTAGATAAGAATTTTTTATTTTTTTTTATAAAGATGAGATAAGTGTTATTGTCAGGAGTGAGTAGATTAGCCACAATTTGAAATGAAGTATAAGTAACTTAAAAACAATATTAATCAAATAGAAGTAAAAAAGGTTTTGAGGAAACTACAACTCGATTACTGAGAAGCAGTTTAGATGCTAAGTGTATTTAATTTCTTATTTATGATTTATGAGTACATGTAATCGGACAGCATTACAATTACTGCTAATGGAAAAAAAAAACATGAATAAATGATTAACATGAATAAATGATTAACTGATTTTTGGTATCCAAAGAATAGACACAAAAATTGCACACACACATCTGAAAGAAGCTGTATAACAATAGACTCTGGAATCACAGTAGGCAGAGTAACCAAAACCTTTAGTACTACTAAACTAGAGAATATTTATCTAATATGAGATGTCAGAAAACTAGTAGAAGAAGTATAATTTTTTTTTAAAGTTACTCAAGTCAATGTAACAGAGTAAATACAATTGAGTACAGCGCACCTTTGGTCATTTGTAATCCTAAATCCTTTGTTTATTTAGTGCATCTTCCTAATAATAGCTTCTCCAGAAAAATGTTGAATCTTTTCACTAATGTTAGGACAAATATACGTACACTTGATTCCCAGCAGCACAGACAGGTTGGGCTCCTGTCCCTGGGCTCTCTGGGTCAGGATGGTGCCCAGGTTCTGGAGGTCCCTCACACACACAGACATGTCCCGGAGCAGCTGGCTTACTTCAGGCCTCTGCGCCGCAGCCCGGAGTCGAGCAGGAGAATTCTCTTCTGTCTGCTGCTGCTGCTAACAGAGAAGCAAAAGATCAACAAAATACACTCCTGTTTTGAATTGTTAATTTCTATGGCTGAAGTCCAAATATTTCGTTATTTTGAAACCCATGGAAAGATAAAAGTTATTAAGATATGGCCAAGAATTAATCACCAAATCTTCCCATAGAACAAACTTAAGATCTGTTCTGGAAGGGTTGTGCACAGGAAAGGAGGACTTTCTACTACTATTTACTTGAGAGGCACATAAATACACTTACAAATACATTTTTATGCTGTATTAATATGCTCTCCACACTGGTAAACTAAACTTAGACATAGACTTAGACAAACTATAGTAAGAGAGGGATAATAATAGACAGGTGTCAAATAAGGCATAATTATATAAATGTATATGTAAAAGTCATAATAAAATAGAAAAATATGTAATAAAATATGAATACATCTGAAGCCACCAGAAGCTACGACTGCACACTAACTTGACTGCTCATGTATAAGCAAGGTGGGTGAAGTGTTTACATGCTAGTGGAAACTGGGATCAAATCATCAACCTTTGGGTTTTAAGTGAAGGCTCTAACTAAGGATTCACTGCTGCCACTTGCTTCTCAACTTCACTGAGTGTGCACAACTCACTGTTCAGTTCTAGTCTTATTTCTTGAGATAAATTAATTTCCATTTCTCACAGAATGCATAAGAGATCCACAAAAGTGTTCCCATACCAGCTGGAGGGACATCTTCTCAATCAGGTCTTTCTGTTGATCAATCACCTGAAAAAGACAATAAAGACAAATCATCATGTCATTTTACTTGATCCTTTATTTAAAAAAACATTGAGAATACATTTGAGTAGTTTGTGTGTGTGTATGTGCGTGTTTATATGTGTGTTTATGTGTATGTATGCCTGTGTGTGGTTTTACCTTGCTGCTGCAGTCCTGCTGCTCTAACAGCTCGGCCTTTTCTGTCTGGAGCCTCTTCAGGTCAGTCACAGGCACACGCACCCCGTCCTCCAGGCACCTCTGCACCTTCTGCTGCAGACTGCAACAAAACAATGCCAACTAGTGAATTAAAAAGTGCAGACAATATAATATCACTCAGTTGAAGTAAAATTAATTTACACAAATAATAACTGAACTAAATATAACTAAAAATATAAAGAGTTGTGGCTAAAATGCAAATGTTAATGCAAATAATGCCATACAGTAGATCTCAAACTTCATCTCTTGACTCTTGATTAAGTCTAAAATAGACCACACCATGACTTACATAGTTCTAAACCTGGACTAACTCAAGGAAGGACAAATATTTGAATAAAATTACTAACTGAAACTAACATTAGAGCTGCAGTGTACCTTGTGTACCACTAAAAGTAGTCCCTGCACCACTGTGTGAGGTGCAACATTGACTGTAACACATTTTAGACATAACGCAAACTTTATACAAACCCAGAAATAACTACAGATGAGTTGAGTTCTTTACCTGTGTACAGATGCTAGTAGCTCATTCTCCCTCCTGGTTTGCTGCTCAATCTGAAGATACTTTTCCCTCAGGAGCAGTTGTCCTTCTTCTAGACTCTTCTGTAGCCATGAAACACTCTGTTCCATCTCTTTTGCTCTCTGCTGAACCTCTTTCAACTAAACCCATAAGGAGAAAGAAATATGTTTAAGATTCTTCATGCATGTCCCAGGATTTAGAAGATTTTTGGGTTGTGTTTACCTGCTGGCTTTGTCCCTGCACCTCTGTGAGCGTGGGTAGATCGGCCAGGTAGCTCTCCAGGGTCTCCACGCGCTGGTGTCGCTCTAGTTTCTGTTCACTCTCTCTGGCACACTTCTTCTTCAGACTGCAAATGTAGCGGTCTCGGGTCTGGATCTGAACAAGGTCATATGAATTATGAAACATTCTGAATGCAAACAGAAAAGGCAGACATTACTTGCAATACTTAGGGACAATAAAACTGATTCACAGGACAGAAATGAATCTTTCCTGAATACCTTGAATGATCTGAGGTGTATCAGAACAAGTATAAGACCACACAGACTAGTATATGGCCATGGACCACTACGGAACTCACATGGACAATGGAGGGATTATAAAGATATAAAACCAGATGGTAATATAAAAGAAAGTACTATCACATTCTATTTTCTGTTCTATTCTAGTATGAAGACGTATTTTACACAGAGATAACAAAACCCTCAGTTCTATCCATCCATCCATTTTCATTTGCTTATCAGGGGCCTTGTTGCGGGGGCAGCAGTCTAAGCAGGGATTCCCAAACTTCCCTCACCCCAGACACTTCCTCCAGCTCCTCCGCAGGGACCCCAAGGCGTTCCCAGGTCAGCCGAGAGACATAGTCCCTCCAGCCTGTCCTGGGTCTTCCCCGGGGCCTCCTTCCGGTGGGACATGCCCAGAACACCTCCTGAGTGAGGCGCCCAGTAGAAATCAGAGCAGCAGTAGCTCTACTCTGAGCTTCTCCCGTGTGACTGAGCTCCTCACTCTATCTCTAAGGGAGCGCTCAGCCACTCTGCAGAGGAAATTCATTTCGGCCAATTGTATCTGCTATCTTGTCCTTCAGTCATTACCCAGAGCTCATGATCTTAGGTGAGGGTAGGAACGTAGATTGACCAGTAAATCGAGAGCTTTGCCTTTCGGCTCAGCTCACTCTTCACCACAACGGTTTGATACAGAGACTGCATCGCCTGTCAATCTCACACTCCATCCTTCCCTCACTTGTGAACAAGACCCCGAAATACTTGAACTCCTCCACTTGAGGCAGGGACTCTCCACCCACCCGTAGAGAGCAAGCCACGTTTTTCCAGTCAAGGACCATGGCCATGAATTTGGAGGAGCTGATTCTCAATTCTATACAACCTCCCATAAACACACTAAATGCCTAATAGTAAGATTGTTTAGGTATTTTAAATATTATGGAAGTTGCTAAGTAACTTGGACTGTTATGTGTAGCACTCTTGATTCGAGTTTTATACATTACAAATCTGGGATGGCTCTTGACCGGGAAAAGGCGAAGCATTCAGTCAAATACTTGAGGCTGATTTGGCGAGCTGACTGAAGTGTCAGAGCAAGCAAACGGAGCAAGCTGATATATCAAACTTTTGCTAAATCCAGTAAAGAGAAAAGCACATCCAGAAATGCACAAAGCACTTTCGTCTGCTCTTTCTTTCCAAAACAAAGCTTTCACTTGATTGCCCAAAAGGTTCAGAACCTGTGATCATTTGTACCTTATCGTCCATTTTGCATATGTCTTCTGTGTACTTCTGCGTGACCTGCTTGAATACATTTTTCAGATGGAGTAGTTCCATTTCTGCTGCACTCAGCTTCTGGCTCAGATCTTTATCACAGAGGGTATATGAAGCTTGTTTGCCTGGCAGCCCCACTCTGTCCTGTAGGGATATCACACATGTTATCAATGAAAGCAGGAGATGTTGGGTTAAAGTGGGCCTTCCATACTTTGTTGTAGATGTAGGAGTCATCGAGTCTGCCCCTGTGGCTCTGCTGGACTTGCTGCACCCTGAGCTCGTTCTCTGTGATCCGGGCCTGGAGCTGAACGATCTGCTGCTTCTGCCTGAGGGACACAACCACAGGTAAAGATGAAAACTAGCCCCAATACAACAACAATACCAAACAGTATATTCACAATAATAATGTTGACAGTACCAGTCTATCTCCTGCTCCCTCTGTCTCAGCAGCCCCTCCTGAAACTTCACCAAACCAGGAACAGGCCCTGGACTGCCTTTCACCATCTGAAAAAAAAAAAAAGTCATTTAGTATATATGCAGAAAATATGCAACTTATAAAATTCAACAGTTTAATTGATCAGGTTTTATGTAAAAGAGTGACCTAAAATACAATTCAAATTAAGTTTAAGTATCTATTTTGACAGGAACACTTTACTTCTACTTGAACGCATTTTTTAGGTATTAGCAATTCAGTAACCTCTTTGGAAATAGATTTCAATATCTCATCATATCCTATTTATTCATTTTAACAGTGTAACACCATAACACAACATGTTGTCCATGACATTTTTAAATTATTTCTTATCCACAATACTTATCCACAATAATATGAGAATGATGAAATGAAATTATGACTGAAATGTTCACTGACTTACCTGCTTTAGTCCTGACTTGAGTGGACTGAACCCTGGTTGCCTGGTGAGCTTGTCCCCATAATTCTCTGCTGTGTCGTGCTTTCCCACCTCAAACTTGGGCTTATACGCTAACTGCTCACTCAACCACATCTGTGTCCTCACTTCAGGCTGTAACGGGTAATCAAAGGGCGGCTGCTCACTTAGGCTCTGACTGCATAGGTCCTGTGGGGATGTGAAGCCGGTGAACAGGTTGTGTTTGATTGGAGAGGAGAAAGCTGAGACGCTCCTGTGTAAAGTCCGGTCTGATTCTCCGCTGGTGGACTTCCGGCTCAGTTTGTAGTAATGACATGGCCCTGACCCTGGAGAGCGCAGGAGCGAGCTATTGCATCGAAGCGAGGACGTCAAAGGAAGGTAGAAATCTGTTTTGTTTGTGCTTGTTTCCTTTTTGAACCCTTTGAGCAACCCCCTGTCTAATGAACCTTGCAGGTCAATATTCTTACTATTGCTATAAGTGCGAGTTGAGTCGTAAACAGCCCATGACGACAGCTTGTTAAGAGATGAGCTTTTTCTGATGGGTTCCTGGTGGTTCTTCTTCGAGTGGGTGCTGGGAGATGAAGAGGAGGTAAGCTGTTGGCAGGTTTTGTACCACTGCGCTGTGTTCTGCTGTTGGGCGGAGAGCTGGTCGTAGGAGCGGGTCAGAGATAGAGGCCTGAGGGACGCAGGGGAGAGGCCAGAGACGAGAAGAGACTGGGGCTGCAGAGTGGAGGACACATCTGGAAGAAAACACCATACACAGTTATGATTGTATGTGAGAGATACTCAATTTGATGGCAGACAGTTCCTTGACTCCATGTAGATGCTATTACTATGCCTGAAATGTTCCACAGTATTCCATTAAAACATATCTTTCTTCATGGGGACAAGCATCCGACATCACCAGGTCAAGTTACAGATCAGATATGTGGAGAAGCATGTTTGTGAAGGTATATAATTTTAGAAATAATACCTCAAACAGTAATAAATGCAATATATAAAAGGTGAATGGAATACTGTGGAAAATTCATCTCCATCTCCAGGGTGACCATCAGAAAAATGCAGCTTTAAGTGCCTTCTATTTCTCTATTTCTCTCTTTTTTGTGTTGATTTAGTTAAAAAGATTACTCCTGATTTTAGAATGAGAATGAGAATGTAATCCTAAAAGTTCTCATCGTTAAAAGATGCATTCAAATAAAAGCACATCATTGTGAAATTAACATAAGAAGTTGCCAGATTGATTTCATGACAGGCAACTTTAGTGTCTATAGAGTCAAATACTATAAATCGATGGTACCCTCCACACTGTCCGAGCTGTAGGTGTAAAAGCCTGTGTCTCCACTGTCAGACAGGGAACTGGCTCTGCGGCCGGATGTCCTGCTGCGAGGGGCCCGGCCTGGAGTGCTGGGGCCGGACAGGAGCTCTGTGGACCCTCCATGACTGCTGCAGCCTGGACAAGAGCAAAGGAGTATCAATTAGAATGTACCTCATCACTGCTGCATATGTTACTTGAGCTAGGATTAAAAATGTGTCATCACAAAAATGTTAAATGTCAAATAAATGTTTGTTTGCCGTTCATTCAGACCTACAAGGTGGATTTAACAAACCTAATAATAGCCTATAGCTCGGCCTATGCTAAAGCAATTCTTGGAAACGCATCAGTAATAAGAGAAGAGTTAGCCTACCCCCCGGAATGTGGTGATGATGTAAGAGATTAGCCCACGTACTTATATCATCAGAGCTCCACATGAGCTCTTCTGTAACTCAACAACCACAGTGCGTTTATGCACGCTTCAAATGGACCAGATAACACGATATAATATATGCAGAAATATGGAAAATGTTGCTAGCGCTGTTAGCTTTCCACTCGAATGACCAAGCACCAACAGCCTACCACTGACCTGTTTTACTCACGTCTGCCCCAATTCTCTCCATGTTCTTATTCGAGTAAAACAGTTGCCCAGGACAGAGAGGGATGATGTTTCGCGCATTTCTTTAGATGTGCGGCATACCACAGACGCGTGGAGGAGGCGGGATGCCCTCCCAGAGCTGCTCGGATGCAGGAGGATGCGCAGCATCAGCAGCACTACCAGCGGCGCACTGCTCTCCACAGGCACTAGAGGGCGACAATCACGCGCATTGTCAGAAAGGTCAGAGAAGAAAGACTCTACAGCAGAGTATTCCCAAAAAATTTCCGTTCAGGCTTCTCTTCCTCAGAAAAAAATATTTATTTGTTAGTATAATTATGCTCTTAGTGAGACAAATGATTTTTTGTAATATATTCAATGTATATTCTTCAAATTTGTTTCCAGAAAACAACTTAATGCGGAGCTGCACTTCAAATTATAGCCCGAATACAAAGCTCAGGGTTAAACATATCGTATGCTGATTGTTTCTACCCGGGAAACACAAGGCAGCTGTGGCAGCACAACAACTGACATGTGATTCTTTATAATCTGCGGATATTTAACATTATTCTGCAGGTAAGGTGATAGTAAGGTCACGAACAGTAGCGCTTTTTCCACCAACTGCCAAACATTGACAGATGGGGCTACACTACTACACTAAACTCCACGATTTCTAGTTTACTAAGGAGCTTCAAGGTGTAATATCTAATTGGTCAGAGGTCTGCCACCTGTTTGTTTCCATAGAGATGTTAATGCTTTGCCTGGAATGTTACAGTATATTATCGAGCTTTGTAGCTGGAAAATACCTCAAAGGGCCCATATTACGCTATTTTCTGATCTATGTTATAATGTTGTTTCCTCACACAAACACAAACACACACAAAACCCTGCATATTTAGGCTGCGTTCTTCTTTCAAACAGAAAACACTTCCACCCTGTGATGTCATGCGGTAGTACAGAAAGTGCTCCACTGTGTTTTTAAACTCCATACACCTTCACTAGAATTATTTGGATAATTTCAGCCCTGGAATTAAAAATCTTTGAACAAAAAGTAAAAGGTAGCTGTTAACTTGAAAACTACTGCTACATTATGGGAATAGCATTTTGAGCTGTGGAGATGTAGACAGATCCATAATAAATGATGACTCAAACTAGTGACTGAAACAAAACACAACTCTGGATATGTTTTTGATTAGGTAACATTATACATTATAACATGGTTTCAAGCTCACCAGGGTCATTTTTGCATTATATAGGATCTTTCAAAAGGTGATAATTTATAAAGTGAATCTGTTCTTAATGGGAGATCTGTTTTTTGACTGCTCTGTAGAATGGCCCAGTGTGAGAGACTGAGCTCTAAGGAGGAGGCCTTGATCCGAAGTGTCTTTAAGAACTACGTGTTGGAGCATCACTCTGAGGATATCAGCCAGATCATTACAGAGGCTGAAATGCACACTCACCATCCCATAGTTGTCAACGCCATGAACTTATTTGAGGCAAACATGGAAGTAAGACCTCATAAAAACATCTACCTACCTTTGTTATATTACATGCATTTTCTGTTTGATTGATTTTCGCTTTATTTCCCCACAGGTTGGGGACTATTTTAATGTGTATCCCAGTGAAGTCTTGACTCTTTTTGATGAGGTTTTACAGCAAATTGCCCTGGAGCTTTCAAGGAATGGCCAGCAGGGGGCAGCAGAGCAGAAGCCAATGTGCACGCTTCATGCACGGATCTCAGGTGAGTGTCAAACTGCCTATGATGACTTTACCTTTTGATTTGCTTTAAAGACAATGGAAGCTGTGTTGTACGAGGAGTTGGTTCATGTCATAGACTGTATAAAAGAAGGTCTATGGTTCATATGTTTGTGTTTTGTTTTATCTTTACATGATTTAATCTATAGGTTTAAATCAGTGTAGTTTTTGCACATTTGATTTTTTTTTTTTCTTTCATTGTCTTTGTGTTACAGGGGGTTTGAAATACTTAAATAATTTTTAACACAGTTACAAGAGAATTCATATTCACATGTTTGTTTGTAGGTTTACCTGTGTGCCCTGAACTCACCAGAGACACAATCCCTAGATCCAGAGATGTGGGCCATTTTCTCTCAGTCACTGGCACAGTCATTCGAACAAGTGATAGTAAGGTGGGCCTCAGTTACATGTTTTATTATTATACAGTAACTGTCTGTGGGCAATGTGAGCTGTTACTACTAAAGTACCACTTTTATTTGAGATAAATACGTTTATTTGCTGACATCACTCACAATCTTTACAATTAATAGCTTCTAATATATGATCCAGTTACACATTTGTTATTCCATTGTACCAAAATATATTTTCTAAATGAAGTCCTCTATTTACAAAATTCTCTAACCCTGTAATGCGACTTGCAAGTGACTTCTGTTGGTAATAGTAAGCCTATGAACTGGAAATATTCATTGTTTTCCTCTTTTGCCTTTGACAGGTTCTGGAGTATCAGCGCGACTACATGTGCACTAAGTGTCGATATGTTTTTCAAGTCAATGCTCAGTTTGACCAGTTCTACACGTTTGTTCCTCCTGTGGCCTGCCCCAACCCCGAACGCTGTGAGTCCCACAAATTCAGCTGCCTCTCCGGGGACACAGAGCCTGCTGCCTGCAGAGACTACCAGGAGATCAAGATCCAAGAGCAGGTATGTCAGTAGGTTTGGTTTATGTTCATGGACAAGGGCCCACGTAATGCTATGTGAGATTTGCATTTGGATTGGGATTTAAAGTCTGACTGACATCGTTTACATTATCATTTAACAATGATAATTTATCCTGACAGAGATGTTTCAGATGTTTAACTTTGTTCCAGTTATTGTTTCATCTGATTAATCCCGGTAATTACAGAGGTATTTACCATAATCCAAGTCAACATATCTGGAATCTGACAGTAAAGTCCACCTCTGAGATTCATACATACTTTAAGATGAGCAATGTCTGCTTCATATTTCTTGTTTTGGGTTTTAGAATCTTGGTTCAAAACATTTATGACCTCCTTGTGATTGGTGAGTATCATTTGGAGGTCCCTCACATCTCCTTGACCTCTCCAAATTCTCCATTCTCCACCTTATTTTGCTGTAACTTTTTTTTTTTTATTAATTAATTATTTTTTTATTTTGCTCTGCTGAGGATTCTGCATACCTTCTTTGATCCTAGACCTGGTCAGAATTGCGTATTTGGTGAAGTTGTGGGTCAACTTGGGGAGCTGACTAGAATCCTCGTGGCCTTTTCTGTCTTGGTCACACAGGTTCTTATCTGTTGCCTCTAAGTCGTCATCAGAGACCAAAGCTTTAGAATAATCCCAGTGCTCCAAACCTGTCTGACACAGGGATGGTGGCCAGAGAGGACCAGAGATCCCCAAACTCTGATATGACATCTTTTTGGAAGATTGTGTTTATCTTCCATTTGTTACTTTCAGTGAGAAAAAGTTTTTAAAAAGCTTTATGCTGAAATGAGTAGCACATTAGAACCACAAAAACATTTGTTTACCCCATAGTTAAGTAGATAGCCTGAATCATTCTTAATAAAGTATATATTCATGATAAATTAAGTTTTTATTCCTGCTTAAATAAGGCTAATTAAGCTGCAGTAATTTTAAACAATTATAAATGATCACTCTCTCCTCTGTTGATTATGTTTTTGTCACTACAGGTCCAGCGGCTCTCCGTGGGCAGTATTCCACGCTCCATGCTCATCGCTCTTGAGGATGACTTGGTGGATTCTTGTAAATCAGGTAAAATTATATTATCGATTCAAAACTTTGGCTCAATGGTTATAAACTTGGATTCTTTACTTAGCTTAAGCAGAAGAGCCCAAGGAACTACATAGACCATGATCCTTTGCCCTGATTCAGTGCATGATGGAATAATTTTTTACTATTTTCTTGTCTACAGTATGTTTATGTTTTTTAGAAAAGACTGGTTTGTGACAATTATTCTAATTAGACTTGCAATTTATAAAAAGCACAAACAATTATGTAGTTTTGTGTATTTAAGAATAAGTTATTTGGTAAAAAACTTTCTCAAAAAAAACTTTCTCAAATAAAAATCTTTTTCAAAAACAGGATATTTTGTTAATTACAATGGACATTCTAAGTTGCATGCTTTGGAATTTGGCAACTGAACCTATTATTACTGAAACGTTGATATTGCTGCTTGCCTAATTAATTGCAGTCCTTATGTTATGGTAGCTTGCTTGTCTCTTGTGTCCAGGAGATGATGTGACCATCTATGGGATTGTGTGTCAGCGCTGGAAGCCTTTCACTGAGGGCACTCGCTGTGACGTGGAGCTCATCCTGAAGGCCAACCACATCGAGGTGAACAACCAGCACACGGCTGTCTCTGTGCTGCTGGAGGAAGCCCACAAGGACATGGAGGACTTCTGGGAAACATACAAGCTCAACCCCCTGGCTGGTGGGTTCTTCAAAGCCCATCCATATGCTTCTACTGTATATGGTTGATACTACTGAGTTGATTTTTGTTTATTCTCTCCAGGTAGGGACCAGATCTTGATGAGTTTTTGCCCGCAGATATTCGGCATGTATGTGGTCAAACTAGCTGTTGCTATGGTGATGGCTGGAGGGGTACAGAGGATTGACTCTACAGGAGGCAAAGTTAGAGGTACTGTTCTTATGTGGTCTTTCCTTCAGATCATTATACAGCACAACTATCAGTAAAAAATTAGGATATGCCTTCTCATTCAATCACAGATGTGCCTAGTCATGGTTAGGGAGTATCAAGCTTTTTGAAGAATTTAAAACATGTTTTGAGTAATTTCACTCTTTTGTTTACTACATTCCATAGTTGTCTATTCATATTTAAACTATTGTGTTGTATGTAGGTGAGTGCCACATGCTTTTGGTGGGCGACCCGGGTACAGGAAAGTCTCAGTTCCTCAAGTATGCAGCAAAAGTCATGCCTCGCTCTGTGCTCACAGCTGGAATTGGGTCTACAAATGCAGGTATGCCTTGTAGTGATGCTGGTTAGCCATGTGTTAAATATAATGTGAATACTGATTGTGTTATTGTTCTTATAGGTCTGACTGTGGCAGCTGTAAAGGATGGGGGAGACTGGCACTTGGAGGCGGGAGCTCTCGTCTTGTCTGATGGAGGCTTGTGTTGTATAGATGAATTTAACAGCATTAAAGAGCATGACCGCATCAGTATACATGAGGCTATGGAGCAGCAGTCCATCAGTGTTGCCAAAGCTGGGTACGACACTCCACAAATATTTGTTTTAAAATGAGAGGATACAGTTTGGTGTATTGTCTATCTTTTTTTGTGTGTTCTGTAAAATGTTTGCAACCAATTTTATCCTTATTAGTAATTGCAATGTCTCCTGCCAGTATGGTATGTAAGCTGAACACCAGAACCACCATCCTGGCAGCCACCAATCCCAAAGGCCAGTATGACCCTTCCCAGTCCCTGTCGGAGAACGTGGCCCTGGCCAGCCCTTTGCTCAGCCGCTTTGACCTGGTGCTGGTGCTGTTGGACAGCAGGAACGCTGAGTGGGACCGCACCATCTCCTCCTTCATCCTGGAGGACAGAGGACGTCCAGGTGTTGCTCCTCTGTGCTATATCAAATACTAGTATATCAAGAAAGTACTATGATGGATGAGTGCATTTGATTTAGTAGTTCACTGTAAAGTTAATGTAACTTAAAGTAATGTTGTTAATTGATCAACAGATATCTTACTTAAAATCTATATTGGTCTTGTTGCATGTTCAGGACAGCCTGCAGACTGGTCCAGCCTGTGGCCCATAGACAAGATGAAGGCATACTTCTGTTTGATTAAACGACTGCAGCCTCAGCTCTCACAGGACGCCAACAGAGTCCTAACCAGTTACTACCAACTGCAGAGACAGAGCCAAGGACGCAACGCCCGCACCACCATCCGCATGCTGGAGAGCCTGAGCCGGCTGGCCGAAGGTCAGGCAGGCATCCATTCTTTTATAGTCATTTGATATTGAATCATAAGACTAACTATATTTTTACTACCCCACAGCACATGCCAAACTCATGTACAGGGAGACTGTCACAATTGAAGATGCTATCATGGCGGTGTCTGTCATGGAGTGCTCTATGCAGGTATCAAGCTTGATATTCTGCTTCGATTTGCAACATTATTTTGCAACAGTAGCTTCAGATAGTGGTCTCATTATTCAACCCCTAAGATGATATTGTTGCCATAAAATTGATATGGCAAGTCTGTCGAGCCAATTCCTAATAAGTAATGCTGATTTAATTGAGATTCATCCAGTGAATCTCCCATAGAGTTATATACACCCCTGACCTCCATCATCAAATTCTAAAACTGAAAAGAAACTTACTGACCATCAAGTTTAGGACATGGATATAAAAATATGTCTTAATAATAATGTGAAATTCTTCTCTGGTCTTGACTCTAGGGCGGCGCTCTTCTTGGAAGCATGAATGCATTACTGACGTCTTTCCCTGATGATCCCGTGGAGCAGTACAAGACTCAGTGTGAGCTCCTGTTAGAAGGGCTCCACTTGCCTCAACTGCTGCAGAAAGAGATGGACAGACTGTCAGCACAATCAGGCAGCTGAGGAACTTCGGCATTCATATAGATATTTTATATTTATTTACAATGACCTGTGGTATTTTACTCCTCATTTTAAACTGTATATATCATGAAATACTGTAAAGAAATTGTACATTGATTTATTAAGTTTGTGTGTGTGTGTGTGTCTGTGTACCTTGTTAAGCATGGATTCCTACTGTGAGCAGTCTTGCCTCTCTACTCTCCACAGACCTGACCCATAAAATGCTTACTTCTTGTCTCCATGGAGATAGATTTAATTTATGCCATACTGTGAATCATTCTAGGCAAAAATAACTCCATGGCGACAAACAAATTGCAGAGCTTTGGACAGAAAAAACAGAAGATGACCATGCAAACAAAGATGTCAGCTCTTCTCTCAGTTATTACATTCAGACAAGATTTATGTTTGAGATGGAAAGTACAAAAACTTCACTCGTATTATGCCATTCAATATGTACATAATGGAGAGCCTGTAAATAATTTTTAAGCATGATTTACAAAGGAATCTTGGTCAGTCAATTTAGGACTGGAAAATAAAATAAATAAATCACTGTCTTGTTATCTCTTGTTATTTTTTATTTTGCCTCTGAATTATTCACTTTAGGGGTTACAGGTGACAATAGATCTCCCTGCTCGAGGTTAAGTTATGAATGAACAGACTCAACAGTGAGAAGTGTCTGGGGAGAGGGAAGTCTGCACACCCTGGCTTAGACTTCTACCCTCATGACTTGGCACAGATTTGAGGTGTCCAACAATCTCAGCTCTGTCCCTCCCCTCTCTGTGTTTAAAAGGGGCAGCAGAGGAGAGCTGCCTTCAGAGAAAACAATACTAACCACTAACCAACAGTATGGCTGAATCATGGATGGAACATTGTTACAGCTCATAAAGAAGGAAACCAACAAGAGAGGAGCAGGTAGGCATGACTATTTTATTCAGAAAGAAGCAATTTAATTAAGAACACTTTTATTTTTTTATTTTTTTCATTTCGGCAGAACTAAACGTGTGCCATTTTAGTGTGTGACTGTTACAAGCAAGTGTTCATAAAATTTAAATGAGAGCGGTCACATAATAACTGTTCACAAATAATGTTACATGTTAGACATCTAACCTATGTAAAGACCATTGTCTTTGGCTCTGAATTTTTGCTAGTTATTTTAAGATTTCTGTGCTGTTTAGGTGAATGAAAATGAACAACCCTTCTGTGTTGAACAAAGAGCTGTTTATCCCATGTGGAGAGGTGCTGCTGGTGGTAGTGGAGGTGCAGAGGGCACGGAGCAGGTACAGGTCTCTGCTGAGAAACAAGAGGGGCTCCTCCTTCCTCTGTGTTTCAGGTATGCACTTTACTGTCGTCAGGTTATATTGAACTGTAGCTGTGATCATTAGACCAATGCATCTTTGTGTTGTCTATTCAGTGACAAAGAGCAAACCTGAGCAGCTCCACATCACAAAGGTAAAGAGGAGCGGAGACTCTGGCCTCACCAGAAGGTCCCAGTGGAAAGTGGAGGAACTGCGGCAGGTTAATGGCATAAACCCATACAAGGTCAGAGCATATACAGGAGGTTTATGTCATCTTCCCTTATAGGGATCAAAGCTGTTGCAAACAATCTGATGACATATAAGACTGTCAAGTTCTTTGGGGTTCATATTTATAAATACAGTTGGGACACTTGCACAACATCAAAGGCCTAAAGCCTAAATTAAACAAATAATAAATGTTAATAACTGCATGGCTTTCTTTGTTTACTTTGTGTCTCAGGACAGCCCCGAGTTTGAGCTGACTTTTGACAACACTGTGGACCACTGGGTGACCCGCTCTGCTGCTGACAAGTGCATCTTTGTCCAAGTCCTGTATGGGGCTTGTAAGGCTCACCTGAGAAGCCCCTCTGGATGTGTGGTGATTGTACCTGGGCCAGATGAGGGCCAGAAGAAGGCTCCAGGCACTGAGAGCGTGGGCCCCTCTCCCGGCCCTATGCCCACAAGTCTGCGCATCAGACGCAAAAGCATCGCTCCCCCAAGACAAACTCTCTTTATCAACTGCCAACCCAAGCTGACCCGAGGTAAGTCCATGAAACCAACATCTGCCATGATGCGAGTGCTGTAATGTGATATTCACCTGCTGCAGATGCCCATCGCATGAACCTAGTCATCTACCAGTGTAAAGCCCTTCTCAACCGAATGAAGAATAAAGTGGCTGCTAAACAAAAGCAGTACAGAGATCAGGGTAAGACTTAAATTATTGTAAGTAATGCTAGTTTATTGTCCAATGTATTTCCTTTGTGTGATTTATTGTGATTTGTTGGTTGCCACACCAGACACAAGTCTCCTTGATGAGAACAGTAGCTTTGTTTATTTGGGAGAGAGTAAAATACAATAGCTGTCATTTGGAGGCTGAGCGCTGTTGAACCCACTGACTGGGGCAGTGTAACTGATGAGAGAGGTACCAGGCTGTCCCAGGACACGCACTAGAGCCATTCATGGTTGGCCTCATATAAACTCAGAGACTGCCGTGGAAGAACTTGTGGAGTCATACTAACACTGTCAGCACTTTAACTGTAAGGTCAGACAAAGGACTATTGTTGTGAGTATGACACTGTAACATTGAGGCAATGGTTGCACTGTAATGCATCATTATAGCAACAAAACCATAACATGTGGAACTATTGGCTAACTAGTGTTGCTTTTTCTTTGAATGCACTCTTACTCAAAAAGGTGTGAGCTACTCTGTAACAAGATATATTCCTTAGGACTTTTGCCTCACTGTGATTATGTATGATCCTGGTTTTTAAGGTGAAGTGTTCTTTATGTTCTGAAATAAAAATTAAATAAATCACCATTTGGATTCTTACAAAAACATGGTTAAAGCAATTGAATAACATGCATACAACAACATCTTGTGTTTTTTTTGTGTTTTGTTTTTGAGCAGAGCGCTCAGGTCAGCCTGATGAAGCAGGTCTGATGAGGAGTCTGGTGCAGAGGGTCACTGTGGCTCTGGGGAGGAGGAAGAGCAAACTGAGAGCAGCTGAAGACCGGACTGAGGAGCTGAGACAGGCAGCTCAGCGCTTTGCCCAGAGTGCTCGCCAGGTCAGTCACTAACTCTCTCTGATTTTGAAATAGCTATATTTCTGTGTTGGGCTAGCCCTAAACTGCAAGACCAGACCTTATCTTGGCCTATGCCATCAGAGGTATAATGGTCCCTACAGTGGAAGGATAGCCAGACTGGATTAGACTGGAATGTAAAATATTATCACCATATGAGGGTTCATATCTCTGGGTCTCTGGTACTGTACTGATGGTAAATAAACCGCTCCTTAGTTAGAACTCCAGTCCAAATATGATGTTAGGAGTAACCAGAAGCATTTAATAAGAAATATATAGACAGGACATGGATGAATTATGAAAATAACAAAACATGCTGATTTTAATATGTTTTATTCTAAATGATCCTCAGTGGACTGGAAATATTTATTAGTTAGTTAGGTGTCTAATAAAGTAAGAGGTTGGGACTAAATAAGTTAATTCCCACTCCTTTCTGGACTTGCAGCTTTATAGTCTATGTACAGTACCTTCCATTTTCACCTGTGACTTTTCTTGGTAATTGAATGTCATACATTATTATTTCTTTGTGTCATCAAATCGCTGAGATTTGTCTTATGCTGCAATGACAGACACTTGCGTCTTTTTTCTTTTCAAATTACAGCTGGCTCTGAAGTACACTAGGTAGAGAACACATGGACCTGCAGAGGGCGACAGGAGCTGAAGAAGTCAGGGAGAATCAAGTGGCCTCTTCTAATGAGCTGGAAACAAGAGATGGTTCTATTGTTGCTTTTTAATATATAAACATATTAATAAATGTGGTGGAAACTTCTGGTGAAAATGTATATAGGTGAATGTTTGTTTTGTGATTTATCTTATAATGATTGTTATATGTCCTCTAATGGCCTCAAAGAGTTTCTGTCCCATTTAAGTGAACAATTTATTTAAAGGAGAATGTAATACTTGCTGGCCATGTCAGTTAATACAATTTGTTGTTTACAATGTCGACATAAATGTGGCACTGTCTTGTGAATCTGTGTTTTTAACATTTGTGGATGTTTGTTCATTAATGTCACTTTTGTCTACTGATTCCTTTGTCCTGTTGTCTGCTTGTTAATGGTATCCAAAACATAACAAAGAAATAAAAAAAAAATACTAACTTATCTCTTTGAAGTTTTATATATGGGACTCAAATGATACAAACCCCATGAAAACACAGTTCAGTTGTCAGTAAGATCAACATTAGATCTACCGACTTAGACTGGCAATGTTAATGAAATACTTTGAAACATCCTACACTTTTAATATATATTTCAGTGTGCTTTTTAGTTTAGACTGACTGTACTATTAAAACATGTCAGCAGAGGGCAGTGTTGTGTCACTTTGGTTCACCACTAAAATCTGTGTCCATAAAGCAACCTGAGCTGAGTGTAGGACAGAGGAAGACAAGTTTTAAACAGTGGTAAGGTAGACTTTATAACATCAAAATGTCAAAAAGCTTTACAGGTTATAACATTTTTGTCTTTTTGCTTCAAATACAGGCTATTTATTGTCGAGGTCTCAGTGAAAGTGTTGGTTGCAAATAATTATCGTTTAGCCTATGTATACATGTGTGTTGATAGATACACTCACAGGCAGACTATAGCTACATATACACACATTCAGTCTTTTCACACATTTTTTATTTTTATTTTTTTCAGAAGATGGTTGTGTGGCTGACTGTGGTTAGCCTGGTGTGACTGTCTTTTTGACTGATAATTGTGTAGCTGTAGTTCCATTAGATTTGTGTTTGGTCAGAGATGTAGTGATTTGATCTGGTGGTATTTCAATAGTCAGATTGTAATGTTGGTCTGATTTTTGTCTGATTTGAACTTCTTGTCATGCAGTTGTTCTGTCTGATTAACGCTTTATTTCAGTCTGACTGTATTATTCCCTCTTCCACATCATCACCTATACATTTTGTGTTATTATAGGTGTTTTTTTGTTTGTTTTTTTTCACTCAGAAATACCGCTAAAAACATACTTTCATTCTGAGAGAGTGGTTTCCTGTCCACAGATCTGACCTGACCTTGTGCATAGATCTGACCTGACCTTGTGGCGTTACCCGCTTGTCTCCATGAAGATAAGTCTTTCAAAGAGCCCTGCTTTGGTCAGACTGTGTTTTTGTAGTTCACACTGGTGCTTGGTTTGATTTTGTGACTATCGGTTGGATATTTTGACCATAGTTTGTTTTTTGCCTTATTGCTCTGGTCTGATTGTGTTTCCCTTGGTGTTAATACTGTAGTTTAGTGTGATACTTCGCTCTGATTGCATTTCCATAGTTTAATTTGCTGCTAATACTTGGTCTGATGCTTCGGTCTCATCACATTACCATGGTTTTGTTTGGTGTTAATACTGTAGTTTGGTTTCCACTGGCCGTTAATACTGTAGCTTGATCTAATTGTGTTTCTATGGTTTTCAGTAGGGTGTTGAATAGTTTGGTCTGATTGTGTTTCTATGGTTTCATTTGGTTTTAATGCTGTAGTTTGGTCTGATTGCCTTTTTACGGTTTATTTTGGGTGTTAATGCTGTAGTTTATTCTGGTTTGATCTGATTGTGTTTCCATGTTTTGTTGTTTTCTTAATTAATGTCATAGTTTAGTCTGATTTGATGGCAATTTGATGATGTCATTGCATGTTATACTGTTTATACTGTAGTTTGGTCTAATGCTTTGGCCTAATTGTGTTTCCAGTGGTTTGTTTAGCATTAATACTGTAGTTTGGTTTGATTATGTTATCATGGTTTTCTTTGGCTTTTAAACTGTAGTTTGGTCTGGTGCTCCTGTCTAATTGTGTTTCCATGGTTTCATTGGGTGTTAGTACTGTAGTTTGGTCTAATGCTTTGGTTTCATTGTCTTTCCAGTGGTTTGTTTCGCTTTAATATTGTAGTTTGTTCCGATTGTGTTTAAATGGTTTCTTTGGGTGTTAATACTGTAGTTTAGTCTGATACTTTACTCTGATTTCATGTCCATGGTTTCATTGGGCGTTAATACTGTAGTTTGGTCTTCTCCTTTACCCTGATTGCATTTCCATGGTTTCATTTGGCATTAATACTGTAGTTTGGATGCTCCGGTCTGCTGCTTTGGTCCGGGGCGTGCTGATGTGATGGCCGTGGCAGGACAGGGTCAGTCTGATGGATGTGACATTAAGGCGAGCTGAAGCCGGAGATGCTTTCCCCAGTGCGATGGTGGCATTTGTCACTGAGCTGCTCGCGCACACTGGGCCGGCCTCAGAGCTGACTGAGATTAATGATGACGCTGCCACTCTCTTTGTCTGGACCCCCACACACCAGGCAACATACACACCACCACACGAGGACCCTCCCAAATCGCCCTAAACATATGTGATGCTGACACACGAATATGGGGTTTAAGGCGTTCGTTAAAATCTTTATATGGAGTGTCATTTGTGGTACATGTTGGGAAGGGAATCATGTGTTAGATTTTGATTTTGAATTATGTAAACGTGACCCATGCAGTTGTGTTCATATACAAGATACACATGTTTAAATCATGTACTGTAGCTCTTATAATTTCAATGCTGTTTTATTCTTGGCCATGTTGTTTTTACTTTTGTTTCTCAAGGTAATTATCAGAAAGCAGAAAGAGCCTCACAAGTCTCTCAGTTTTAATGCTGAAATCCAGTTGGTTTAGACTTAGACTTTATTGATCCACAAGGGAAATTATTTGGACACAGTAGCTCACACATCACATTATATTACAACAACAAAGAGTACAAAAATATTTATATAAACTAAACCTAAAGGACTGTCTGATCTGAATCTTCACTGCCTAATGAGTGCTAGTACAGCCTCTGCAGCTCAGTCAGTGGATGTTCTGAGCTTTCACATGAAGAATGGTCTGTCCATACACTGAGAATGAGGAAAAATTGCCTTTGTCTGCAGTTGTGATTATACCTTTTTTTTAGTGGTAGTAGTGCCGTTACTTGCAGTCCAATATTTTCAGTTTGATTGTTTGTATACGAAATCATTCTCTGGCTGTGCTTCATATCGAGACTGTAGTCTGTAAGTGATCTTGGGGGAACAATACATGGATGTACAATGCTATGTCTAACCAAATATATGGCTCCACTGAGTCTTAAAGGGACATGCTTTTGAGATAATGTATTTTTCAGTTTACATAGTATTCCCTTCAAATTGATCATGTGGGTTCAACTCTAAACCTTTTATCGTTTACACGACTTAAAAATAGATGAAAAATAAGATGTTTTTTTCAATAATCTCTATCCTACATATAGCCCACTGGATATATAGATATTTACTGTCATCAGTGATGTTTGAGATTAAATCATTAGAAATTATAATGTGTTAAATTATATCTGTAGTTTTTTCATTCTGGGTTTGGTTTGAATTTTGGAATTGTTATGCACAGACTATGAAACGAAATGCATTGTTCAAAACTGTTCTCATATTTCATACACACACATCTGATATTACAACGAGCATCATCTGGCTCTTGTGGGCCTGGTGCAGCGGTTGAATGGTAGCGAGTGTGGCTATAGAGCACATGCAGGAAAAAGGTTTGTAATGAAGAAATGGAATAACCTTAAGCGGCATGCTGCGGTGCACAGAAAATGGCTCTCCCTGGACAGATGAGGCAGCGCTCAGATGGATGGGGAATAAGCCACTTGTGTGCGGCTGGGAGACGCAGCCCAGTGCCCCGATCATCCATCATCCTCTGACACTTTCACTTACATCTGCAGCACATACATATAGATGTAAGCCCTGCAAACAGCACCGTGCCTCTGCTTTGTCTGAATGTGGAGCTACACCTTCAACAAGCCACATATGAAGCATGGAGAGAAAGTGTGCAATTAGCAAATGCGATAATGAATTGTTCCTAATGATGTGTCTCCAGGTTGGACCAGATGTTCCTCAGCTGTGCTATTTGCAATTTTGTGAATTCAATATCCGCATCGAAAACCAGTGTTCCCTTTATTCCCGTCTGTGATGGAATGTTTAGACTTACTGCTTAGTTTGAGTAATACATTTGCAAAGCACAAAAATGCTGCAAAAATTTAGAGCAATGAAACTTATTATGAGTACATAGGGATGTAAAATGTTGACATACCTTAATGTGTAACAGTATAAAAGAAGCTGGTCGCCTATGGACAGAACATGATGTCTGATGGAGAAATTATAAGCCCACTATAATCAGCTGGGGGCTCATACCAACACACATTAAAAGTATGAAAAAATACTGTCAAGGCTTCAAATGGCATTGGTTGTAGTAAGTTCTGCTTTTTGTTTTTGCATTTGAGAGTATAATTTAAGGTTCTGTCAAAAAGGTCTGGTCCCAGTCACGGAGGTGTGAGAACATGTCCCCTGCTGCTCCTGTGAAATAGCCCCATGCTCAGCTACACATGAGTGGGAGTAGAGTCCAGAGGGTCTGTAATGCTCCAGTGAATGGAGGTGTGCTGGGCCCCGGGCCCCAGGGACACAGCTGATGAATGTTGATTAAACACATCCCAGCACTGGATGGGCAGTGACTGTGGAGCACGGACAGTGTGTTTAATGGGGATCTACTTCAGGTGTAAGAGCAGATACCATCTCCTCTGATGTTAGGAGCTGGACATCACATGTTTCACATCATCACCTCCTCCACTATCCTCACAGTGCAGTATATAGGACCACTAGAGTACACTAGAGTAGAGTATGTCTGCTCCAGTGTGCACAGTGTAAACCTGCTCCAGTCCAGTGTAATGAGCATCCTCCCTGTCTGAGGCCCATGCAGGCCCGCCCCTGTGTGGGGGGACAGGTGTCTAACAGAATGATGAATGGCCCTGTTTGTGCCTACATAATTGGCTGCTGGCTGTTTGGCCCGAGCCTGGCTAGCTGTCTACCGGGCAGCCACCCATCTGTCAATCAGCGGCCCACTGCCGCCCGGCCGACCTCTGATAGCGATGCTAATGTGCAGTGCCTTTCTCTGATTGGCTGGACGTGCTCTGGTCCAAGCTAATCCATTACAGCTGTGACAGTAATAATCTCCACCAAACACAGGGTTGCCGTGTGCTAAACGTTATTTGACCGTTCCTGTCAGGCGGCTGCAGGCTGGGTGATGGATGAGGCCGAGTGTGCCGCGCTCATTCATCACTCCTGACTGCGCCTGTGCAGGTCCATGCTGCTGGCTTTATGTGCCTTTTGATTACTTTCAATTGAGACTTGTTAGAGTTAGTTTGGACAATTGGTCTTAGCCCATTCAACACTAAAGGGCATTTCATAGAACAAGACAAACTGGGCAATCCCCATGATCATATTCAAGTAAATCATATTGGCATGTTTTTAGAAACCTCTTCCTCTAATCTTCCATACAAATTTACACAGGCTATTCTCTCATCTCATTTTTGGACAGTTTTCAGCAGCCCTAGTGCACACAGAGACAGCAAGAACACCAGCCAAATCACCAGGAGACCTCCAACTTAGAGGCATAGTGGAATGGCAGAAGACTTATTTCATATTAATCTTAATTTAAAAGGAAGAAACTGAGAGAATTAAATAGTTTATAACTATTTACACTTCCCTGTGCACAAATCTAACTACACTAAATGTAAACATTTTTATTAGATGAACTGCTTCTACAATGTCAACATCTGTAGCTGCAGCTGTGCTTAAACCTTCTCTTGGTGGTTTAACAACAGGTTAACACATCAATTGAAAGAAAAAATAATGGTGATGTTGCACACTTTCAACTATTTTACAGTGTTGTTGTTCTTCAATGTTTTGTTTTTCAAAAGACAGTGCAAACGAAAGGAAGGGCAAAGCAATTATAACACCTCTATGAATTTCTATATTAAGGAGTACACAACTATCAATCATGTATTTGCTGGCAAAAAACAACAACAAAAGGCTGACAGCTTACAGAAAACAGGTGAGGTTTAGCAAAAGACACAGGAGATTTCACAACTGGTACCTAAAGCTACATCAAAACCGCTTTCAGTGAGCTGGGCTTTTTTTTCTCTATTTCTTTTTACACAATTGTCATAAGAACCTCCTCACTAGTGGATGCAAAGCTATGTGACATCTACTGTTGGAACACATGTAGTTGATCCAGAGTGGACATGGGCGTGTTTGTGTGTGTTTGTGTGTGTGTGTTGTCTTGCAGATGAATCCCGGGTGGTGTGAGCTCCTCTCTGCAGTGAGCTGACAGGGCTGTGATGGCCTCTGTCTGACACTCTGTTGCTGTGGAGACTAACTACGGCTTTACACTGATACCATTTGGCACAGTCCCACTCCAATGAAACCCGGCCTGGGGCAGAGCTGCTGTGAAATGTTCCAATCAGTGTTTTTTTTTTTTCTTTTCTTAATACAAGTTCATAATAACACATTGGATTTATATAGTGCCTTTCAATAAAAACCCAAAGTGCTTTACAGTGCATTATTCATTCACCCCACACTCAGAGATGGGCAGACTGACAGAAGTGAAGCTATTAATCTGTGAGTTTGGCCCCTCCAACCACTGCCAATAACTCACATGCCATATTCATACAAGACAAGGTGGAGGAAATGTCTTGCCTAAGGACACATCAGCAATTTCCTCTATAGCCACTCCTGTATTACCAACGATACACTGCAAATGCCTGAATTAAGAAAGTTTTATCGTGGTTTGAGTACATTTCACTTGACATGTAAATTTATCTGCCGGTGGAACAAAACTTTTTGTACTTAAAATATGAAAATACATCTTGCTACACTTAAAATAAGAAAGACAACAACTTTTTGCACTTAAAAGAAACTAAATCAAATGTTGCTTGAATTAAGAAAAACACACTTATTCCATTGGTAGATCATTTGTCTTGTCAACTTGAATTTACTCAAATAAAGTAAAATGTTCTTAATTCAAGTCATTTATTTTAGCTAGATATTGTTTTTTTCCAGTGCAGTAAAAACTATGATCCAGCCTTGCTTAGATTCCAAGATCTGAGCATTCTCAAAGCAGTAGCTGTTTGAATAAATGCACTCTCTCTCCTCCCTAATCCTTGTTACAGCTATGAGACATATTTCTCCTCTGATGCCGTCTTCCCTTCAGCAGCTAGACTATAAGCCCCTTCAGCTTCTCAGTCTTCTTTACCAAGATCTGAAAGCTCCAATGTTTATAAATTCAATAAACTATCCATCACTTTTTTAACCAGGTTGGCGCCACCTAGTGCCTCCACTCAATTTCATTTCTCTCCAGAGACTTGGTCAGGAACCAGCCCGAGTTGCAATAGCAGACTGTATACTCTATTCTCCTTTGGACTTCCTTTGTGAAATACAGACTTCACAATTTTTATTGCTCTTTAATTCGCAAGTTCATCTCGCAGAAACAACAATGATCACTGACAGACATGTTCGCTCTCTGCTTTGTTTGCTGTTGTGCAGGTATTACTTGGACACCACTGAGCGTTCCAGCACATTACATACATCATGATCAAATAGCAGTGATTGGTTAAATAAAAAAAGTACCCACCTACCACTGAGTGAATGAATCCTAATGCTGCGAGGTCAGACAGTTTCCACAAAGTGAAATCCACAGATCACTTTGTCTGATCAAGTTCTTTTTGGTTGAAATGCAATACTGTTCCCTGACATATTAAAACTACAGTATATTATTATAAGTGTCCAGAGAGTTCTGACAATCCATAATGGCGTCTCTGTGATGTGGTGATGTGTTTATGGGTGTGATGGGTTGTGGGTGCAGGCCTCCACATCAGGCTGACAGCTGCCCTCCCATGGCCCCTTCACAGAGAGAAACCACCTCCGACATGTGTCCTGTGGATGTGGACTGTCACTGTGTCTCTGTGTGGGGATGAAGTCACCTATGTACATTTGTCTTTCATAAGTGTTTTGGAACAGACACTTTGCCTGTCACTCAATTATCAAATTATCTGCTGGACAACTACACACACACACAAGTTTGCAAAGGGCTACAAAAAGACTGTTTGTGCAGGGAAGTAACTGAAGACATGGACAAAAAACATATATTCAGACTATACATTTTGAGTAACTATATTCCTGTATAGTTACTCTTTAATTTAGTGATATTCAGGATTCAGTTACTTTGCTAGAATCAGAGGAATACATGGCAGTGCTTGTATTTCACTTGTGTTATTTTTTTTCTAATTTATAAGAGGAATTGCAGCAAGCGGTGAAACAAACATACAGGTGTTTTTAATCCTATGTTGTGTTTTTATACTATGATGCAGCTCAATTTATTTATTTATTTGATGTATTTTATGTATTTATTTTGGGCAAGTAAAGCTTTACATTCCAATACAATGGAACATATAACATCAGTGAAATCATAATAGAAATGAAAATAAACAAAACAAAAAATCTGCCCACAAAGGAGTGGAAAGAAGAAAACTTATTTAATCTCACCCCCACTCTCCTAATCTAACACAATCAGCTTTCTTTTGCATTTTTCAGACATTTTTAATTAAAGTATATAAACTATTTACAAGTGCGGACAAAGAGTCACTGTTACAGCTTGGTAGTTTAACATAATCATACCAACAATGGTAATGTTAAGGATACAGACAATGTTAACAGACAACAGATACAAGTAACACAATGGACGGCACAAACCAGCAATGGTAAAGAAACAACAAGCAAACCAGCACTACAGAAGGAAGCATTGTTTGAATATTATGACCCACTCTCTATTTACAGTGACCAAACCATATGTTTATAGAACAACTTGAATTTATGGATATATTGGCATTGCTTGAGATGTGTATCCAGACTGTTCCAGAGTTCAATATAAAAGTATTTTCAGTATTTGGAATACAGTACTCTGATTGGACCATGTATCAGAACACTTTACAATATACATTTTAAAACAGGTATTCAGTATTCTATAACTAAATACAGTTTCAAAGTATTCTTCCCATCACTGTTCATAGATGAGGATAAAAACTGTAAAATAACGCACAGCAATGACTCATAGGAAAGCTATAGAATTTCCAGATTCATTTTTACATAATGAAATGTTTGCAAAGCTCTAGAGCAATAAAGATTCTGCAATAATGACATCATAGTGAATAAAGCTGGAACTGCATTTTACATAAATCCTCTAACGGTAATAATCATTCAGTAGTAGCAATCACAACATTTGCATTTCACTTCACAAGCTGAGCATCACAAAGAAGTACACTGTATTTGTTATTCATTCACTCCACCTGTAGTAGGCTTTTGCACCATCTGCCCCTCCCATACTTCCGCCAATCACTCACCCTCCTCTGCCACATCATTCATAAGCAAGGTGGTTAGGTGTCTTGCCCAAGGACACAATGACAGGTACAAATTGGAGTCGGGACCTAACCACTGACCTTCAGGTTGATGGCCAGACACTACAGTCACAACACAGCAGTACAAAGCAAAATATTGTTCTCTTATTGTGGAAATAGGAGCTTGTCTTAAAATTCTACATGTGTCTATTGGTTTATGAATATGAGAGTTCACAAATAAATTACAGGGAAGAAAAATGAATTCTAGCTACGTCCCCATAATATCGTCACATTTAAAACAGGAGGGAAACAGCTATGAAACTAACACCAGCCTGCGTGAGTCCAGAGTGGTCTGAGGTGGTCAGGGAAATACTCGTGTTTGGAGACGGGCATTTGTGAGGTCAGCTCTGACAATGACATGATGGAGATGATGAGCGTTAGAGCGCACCCCACTGCCCCCTTCACTGACCCGGGATCCAGTGATTGCAGCACGCACGGCCACGAGCGCCACGGGAAAACAATTACACTATTTGTTTTTCACATTCTCACTGGGATTATTAGGCTATCAATAATTTCTGTGGCCATTTTTGTCGTCTACATTTAGTCTATCAAATGGATTTGCTGATGACTACACAGGCTATTGTGTTTGAATGTAATTTAAGACTTCTGATGTGTCTTGTAGTGCTGTTTCTTCCATGTTGTAGGGCGTAATAAATGTGTAACAAATAAAGATTAGCTCCATTGCGCACTGCTCAACACAATAGTAACCTGAGATCAATTCAATTCAGCTAAATATAAAAGGTGATCTTTTATATGTCGCCGATATCTTACAGAAACGCCTTCATATTATAAAAGAAGTGGCGCATAGGGTGCATGGAGCGTGTTCGCGCTGAAGGAGCAATGACCCATATTTCATCGATGCTGTGCGCGCGTTTCCGGCAGCCTTCAGAACGCGTTTGTGGCGCGTGCCTTGGATCGGGCCTGAGCGCAGCCGCAGTGTGTCCTCTGCTCACTCAGAGCGCACTGCAGTCACAGGCAAAAACATGTAGGCCGGAATACAGCAGCGGCAAACCACAGAGGAATAATTTCCTAAATAACGCACGAGGAAATTACAGAAGAAACGAATTTTGCTAAAATTACATTTATCTAAGAGGCAAATTAGAAAATTCTAGTCTGTAGTCTCACAGACGGGCCTAATATGAGCGCTTCAAAATATGAATTTATATTTCAGAATTTATAAAACCTCCAGGCTTCAAATATTTAGTTTTATTATTTTCTTATTTTTCCATAGTAAATATTGACTGAGACTGTAGGGTTTTTGCGCGCCGTTCCCCTTCTCGCTGTGGATGACAGTGATGGATGAGTTTTGCTTTTAATTATTTCTCGTCTCTTCTAGGCCACTTCTATACTCCTCTGTGTTATTTAGTTGCTATTTATATTTTTGTAACACTGAATAAATAGGCCCACATATTTTTGTTGTGTCAGCTCCTTGCGTAAAACTCTTAAAACGGTAAATCTCCATCATTGCATTAAGCGCATCACGCACAGACACAGCATAAGATGTAAAGTCTTTATTTCAGTGCAGTGTCGGTGAACTACAAAACTATTCACATACACTTCAGAAACACTGTACAACAAAACCAGTCTGTAAACGTGGAATCATTCCTGCACACGGAATATTAGCGTTTCCCCACACAAATTACGCACAACAATAAAAAATGGGCACGTTATAGACACTAGAGTAGGGAATATATTTTATGTAAAAAAGGGAAAAAATGACTTGAAAAATGAATGTTTTGGTATATTTAAAATGATACTTGACACCTGACAAATACAATGAAAAACGACCTTGCCCCCTGTGACAAATGTAGTCTAAATTATAATAATTAAAATCTTGAATACACATTTTGGTAATATTAAAAATAACACTTTTTTAATCTCACCAAAGAATATTCATCCAAAATATTAATTCATTAAAGATATTGTGAAATTACTCAGTTAAAAATGTGGAATGTCCTTGTCATTGAAAAAGAAAGTTTAATATGACCAAAAAATATAGCAAGAAAAAGGGCAAAGCAAAGAATCAAAAAACTAACATTCTGCAATAACAGACCAGAGTATATGATCAATTTCTTTCTGTAAAAAAAGAAAAAAGTAAATCAATGACAGTGAATGCAGTTGTAAGGCCAAAACATATTACAATAGATACCGATCAGACCTTTGAATGTTCACAGTGCTTAAAAATCACACCTGGAATACAAGTTCCATTTGAAAATACATTTAGTGTATGAAACATTATTATTCAGTGTGCAGGAAACAAAAGACTGGATTAGACACAAAACAAACAAATAAACAAACAAGCATGGTTCCAGCTCAAACATCAGCAGGTTCATAGGAGTCAGTGCATTTGCGGTGTCCAGAGTAACACAATGTGCCTTCTCCATATGAGGTGCAGTGGTTGAAAATGTTGTCAAGTTTTACTATTGGACCCCAGGGCACTAGTACTTTTTGGGTTGCAGGAGATGTATTGTGAAAAATGTTGGCAGTCTCTTATGTTCGTTCTTCTGTATCTTCTCCAGATATGTCAAGAAAGCTTATGAGATCCCACGTCTTGGTGCCATTAGTGGTTTTCCAATTGTCCTTTTAGAGTGCCCCAAATAGTACCAATAAAATGCTGAAAATTGGTCCAGGAGATGCGAGGGGGACAGGAAATCCAAGACAAAATAAAGATGCGTTTTCAAACACAAAACATTAGCTTGTAGCTCGATTTCAGATCCAAAGATTTTCAGACACAGCAACATTGAGAGACAGGACAAAGGTCTCTATAGTGATTTCAATAACACAATGGGACTTTATAAAATGTGTTGTATAAAAACAGGAAGTACATATATATGGCGGATTATTTTCTCTTTGTGAAAATGTCAAAATGGCTGAAGAAAGTTGTTCTGGAGTGTCTTCTCTTGTGCTGTGTGACCCCCATGCAGACACTGGTGAGAGGAGCTCAGTGAGGAGAGTCGTGATCAGGACAAAAATGTTCCAACAGCTCCCAGTCTTTTCGTACTGTGAATTCCATCCACAGTCTCGACAAATAAATAAATAAGTTAAAGCTTCTCCCCAGCACCAAGTCAGTTTAGTTCAGGCTCGGGACAGATCCGGTAAAAGTCTGTGTGTAGGATCTGGTCCAGACGAGGTACGGGGAGGGTGGAGTCACATAAAATGGGCAGGGTCAGAGTAGAGGAGGGTGTGGTCTGGTGAGAGGAGCTCCACTGCTGGAAAATGGAAGGTCCCTGAGCCAAACATGGAGACCTGGAAAACACAAATTAGATTGGTTAGAAGATTGTTTTGAGTATTTTGAGTCAGGAAAGGAGAGAAAGAAAGACTGAAGAAGAGACGGAGGGAGAGAGAGAGATATTATTAAAGATTTTGGAAACATAAATCAAAATCTAATGATTATCAGGTGCCAAAGTAGTTTCTAGTGGTTGGTCTTAAAGAGGGTGTATTATGCAAAATAGATTTTTTTGGAGTTTTCTATCATGTTATAATGTTGTTCTCTCATCAAAAACATGCCTGAAGAGGTTTCAGATGTCATTCATTTCATGCATGTTTTGAGTAATCCTGCGATTTCTCCCTATTCAAACCATCACAGTACGATTCTGCACAATGCTCAGCCCACAAGATTCTTCTAGCCTAATTCATCAGCCGGTTTTACTTCGTTTCACTTCGTACAAACTGTCTGACCTTCACAGCCTTAGATTTCGTTCGCTCGACGGTAGACAGGTACTTTTTATCGTTTAACCAATCGCTGCTATTTGGTCATGACATATGTAATGCACCGCTAATGGGACTAACTGGTATATTAAGCTTTTCCCACATCCCATAGGAAGAAGGACAGTAAGGTATTTCCCTTTGATGAAATTCACCAAACATTCTCTTTAAATCCTCGATCTCGGGAAGCACTGACAACATTGAATATATGGCTCTTCGCTGATTGGCTGGTGCCCGAACTCGCACTTCCGGGGTTTTTGCAAACCATCTGTTGTATTTTGATTTCTGACCAAGTCACTGGAGAGAAATGAAATTAAGCGGAGGCACTAGGTGGCGCCAGCCTGAGTAAGATTCTTCATCCATGCTCCCACAAAACAATTCTCCATGAATATATAAAGGTAGAAAACAAAACAGAAAAACAGAAAACAAAAAACAAAACAAAAACAACACACTACAACTTCAAAAACCTGATACGATATGCAGTAGTTTCATTAGCAGAATTTGTGTATACAAGGATCTAATTACATACTTTTTCATCTATTGTCATCCTTTTAATTACAAGTTATATACATGCAAAAATAAATATAGTATTTCTCCTACTTTTCATAACTCACAAATGAATTAACATTTTTTGAAATCATGATCAAATAACAATAAAATTGAGGGAAAACTATTCAATTCCTAAAGCTGCAATATATGCCATATGTTCCATAGACTAACCTCGATGGACTGTGTGCACTGCTCACTCAAGTATTCTACAATGTCCAAATGTTATGGTGCGGGCTTCATTGTGCATGTGAAATCCTCATTTACTCCTTTTCCTGCGTGGGGGTAAATTTACCGCCGCAGTCAGCATATGCTTGTGAATCAAATTAACACACCCTAAAACACCAGAGTCATCGGAGCCATTACTATAAGTAGTCAATGGTCATTCAGTGCGAAATGATTTGGTCAGGTTGAGAGCGTGATGTCTGTCTGGCTTGCACGCTGTTAACAAAGCTGCTGGGATAATGAGAAAACACGGGGACGGTGTAATGGTGAAAATTGTCTCTGGTAAAAAAAATGAAGCAGCTCCTATTTCCATATAAAGAGCTCTATTAATCAAGGTAAGTGTCATTACGCTGTGCCTCATTGAGCAGTGAGAGTGCCTGTTAAATACTATTGGTGTGCTGGTGCGCCCACGGCATCGCATACATCTTGATTTGAGAAGTGTCAGCTCGGGCCCTGGCTAATAGACGTTGGGAGGTGGGTGGGGGTGTACCCTGGTTCTTAATCAGACTTGGGGGAGAGGGGGAATAAGATGGATGTGCTGAGGCTCAGAAGACTTTGGGGAATATTAACAGAATGTTTTTGTAAATCGGTTTCAATCCAGATTACAGAGTTTGGGGAAAAATATGTTATTGTATTTTTTTTCTTTCAAATAGCGCGACTGAGATTAAGATGGCGATATTTGAAATCGAGATTCTGTTCACAGTGGCCACTTTAAACAAATTCTATGGCATTAACGTTTAAGAGAAGATAAAAAAAACTGCTACACTAATAAATTATCCATCCTAGAATATCTCTAAAATACAATGGTGTGTAGTTTTGTACACTGCAAAGAACAAATACTTAATAACTTAATTGTGACCATCTGCATTCTCATGTAATTTCTCATTTGATTATGATAAATGAGCCCCACTAGAGACTTTAGACTTATGAGTTACAATTACCCATATGAATTATGTTACTGTTTTATACTGCGCCATAAAACTAATATTGCACCATAATAATTTACTGAGGAACATATTCTCAGTTATTGTCCACCACAGGCATTTCACTGCAAGTGCTACTACATTTTACACGACTCTACATGTCTGATAAACATTTGCACTGGCTGTTTTCAAATTATATATTATAATTGGAAATTTCACAGTCTCTAGTAAAGGAGAGTGAATAAACTTTTATAAACCCATTTATATTAGTGACTAGGCTCATATGTTTTTATACAACCGCACCAGAAAGCCACTAAACTGTCAGTGCTGTAAAGCAATGTACCCTATCCGATTAAAATTCAATCTTACATTTTATGGCATTTTGGCTTATTTTATCCTACCCCAAATTTTAGTAGGATTATCTTACACACACACACATATAGCCCATTCTATGTACTTTGAATTTACTTTTAGACAATAATTACCATATTTTTTCAGTAACTACTCACATCTATAAAAACAGTTCATCGCTGATTTGTTTTAATTCGCTAAGAGGCTGCGTTAAAGTGCCCATTTTGCCTGTTTTTGTCCACAGAGCTTTAATATTTTTTTTATTTAGTGTGTGTATACTTACATTGTTACCCTGTTGTCAGGCGTGCCTCAGCCTCACAGCTCTACATGTAGTGCCACTGTCCGTCCATGCCCATGTTCATCCCCATGCCACCCATAGGCCCTGCGTAGGTGGCACAGAGGGTTAGGGGCTCATCTCCACACAGCACCCATAATAAAGGCTAAACATTATAACAGTGACTTTAAAAGTATCCTTAGAGCTTACCTCCGTGTCGCAGGCCCATGTGCTGCTGACCGTCCAGGACGAAGCCGCCCATTGGCTGTCCGTCGGGGCTGTACGCTGTGCCCTGGCTCACTGTGAGGGAGAAGGAAATTATAAATAAGTAGACAATAAAACATGATAAGTGTATGTATTAGGAATTTAACAATAACCATGGTATCGAAAAATCTCATATAAAAATTCTCAAAATAACCTTGTGGATTCTTCTGCAAAATTTAAAACTCAAGATATTACCTTGAGTATTTTTTTGTATATTTTACAAAATTATTTTGTGATAGCACTAGAATTCTTTTGCTTGTTTAGAGAAAAGAAACTTGTTAATGCAATACACTTGATATATTCACTGTTTTGATGATCAAAATGTGTTTCATATTAAGTTTGTGCACGCAATGGTATAACAAAGAAATACTGTTTTAAAAATGTAACTTAAAATGGTAATTTATCGCAAAAATCATGTTCACTATATCAGTTATCTAGTCAGGCTGGTGCCACCTAGTGCCTCCGCTCAATTTAATTTCTCTCCAGCGACTAGGTCAGGAATCAGAATACACTAAATGGTTTACCAAAACCCCTGAAGTGCGAGTCCGGACACCAGCCAATCAGCAAAGAGTCATACATTCTGTGTTGGCAATGATTCCCAAGATCGAGGATTTAAAGTAGGAACAATGAGAATATTTGGTGAATTTTATCAAGTGGAAAGACATTATTGCCCTTCTTCTTATGGGATTTGGGAAAAGCTTAATATGCCAGTTTGATACCAAATAGCAGCGATTGGTTAAATAAAAAAAAAGTACCCGCCTACCGTCAAGCGAACGAAATTCTAATGCTGCGATGTCAGACGGTTTCCATGAAGTAAAACTGGCTGATGAATTAGGCTATCAATTATCGCTTGTAATGTAAAATTGGTTTCTAATATTGTATTGTGAGCCATGTATCGCACAACACGTCTAATCATGAAGCCCAAGAAACGACATAGACCAAGATCCTTTGCTCTCCCATTTCAGTGCAGTTAACATGAATAAATTACTTTTCTAAATTATATATGATGCTAATTATTGCACTAAAGATGTGAGGGTAATTTTAGATGAAAAATACCAATTCTACAATTCTTTCAGATTTAAATCTAGTTTCATCCCTTTTGTTTATATCCATACCTGCTCTGTTGGACTGGTCAATCATCGGCTGCACTATTCTTCTCCTGGCATTGATGAACCTGCGGAAGACAAAAAAAATTATATTCTATCAAAAGGGACAAAAGTATAAAGATTAGCAATTACTCAAACTCCTATGTCAACTATTCCAAGTGTCTAGAGTCACATCAATGATCTGGCCTCAGGCAGTGATAAAGGTAAAGGGGTTTGTCAATATCTTTGGTCTGATGAATACACGGGATCTATGTCATTTTCAATTATCACAGAATGATTATGTATTGCACAAAACATAGAAATCAATAGCAGACGGTTGATGGATGTTGTCATAAATAATATCCTTGGGAGCATACCAGTTATTGACTTGTAGAATGGTGAGTCCTGTGTCTTGTGCAAGCTGCTTCTTCTGTTCCTCGGAGGGGTATGGGTGCTGGAGAGGAACAAAAAAGAGAACAAAAGTCCAGGTTAAGACATTTGCAGACACATTAAAAGGAATTCTACCCAATTTTTCCCAAGTATATGAGCAAGATTTGTCCTGCCTGAGTACAGATATATTGTATAGGCGACTCTTGAGGTCAAAACTAATCAGCAAGCATTTTGTGTCAGATGATTAGGAAGTATGTGTTAGTGTACTAGTTGTTTATATCTCCAAAACTGCTCTGTGAAAAACGCTTATAAACTTATTGTGGGGAAGAATTACGACGCTCAGAATACATAAGGAGAGGAATAACTTTGGACCACTACAAACCATTTAAAATAACTACCTACTAGATCTGTTTTTCACATTTTTAAGACCGAAAAAAACCTCACCTTTCACCAGAATAGCTACTTTCAGAAAATAAATTATTTTGATACTTTCGCTTTGTTACATCATTGTAAAATAATAGATGTAATAGATACTTATAACCAAAAATCTCTCTGTAGTTTTGTCAGGAAACTGAACTTCTCCAACAACTTAAGACGCAACCAAGAAAAACTTTGATGGAATAGAACAATGCATTTTTGTCCAAACTATTGTTGTTGAAATGTTTCCCAAAATGGCCCCTGCTCCGCTCTGGGGCCAGTGCGGACTCTCCACACACAGAAGATGACCACGGATTGGCCCCTCACTCTCAGGGGCCAAAAGCGCGTGGCATTGTGACAGTATTTGACATTATTTGACATTGCTTGACAAATTATCTGGTGGGGTACAAAGAAGGACAATGGCTTCTATTGTTGGGGGCCGCGGTGAGGGCAGTGCGGGGCCCCTCCCCTCTCTGTGTGTGTGTATGTGTGTGTGGTGGCAGATGGCAGACAGAGATGACCTGTAGACAGAGAGCAGGGTCCAGGGCCGTGGTTCTATTCTCCCCCTGTCACAGCAGCAGAATGTGGTATGGACCGCTGTGATGGATGAGCTTCCAAGCACTTCATTTAAACTGCTCTCACACATGTGTCGCCATTGCACTGATCGGGGCCCGAGAACGTTTAGAAATACGCTAAAAAAGGTAACTGTGCCAGCCCTAATATAAGACACGTCTCAACTTGTCCTACGCATCTGAACTTGGACTGTGAAAAATACAAAATATATTTATTAGGGACATAATTATATTCAAATCTCACGATACAATATTTTCACGATATACATCTCACATTACAATATTTATTGCGATATTTTGTGGAGGCTAAAAAAACTGTGAATATGCTACTTTTTCCTCTTAAAATACATTGACGAGACTTAATTCAAAGAACCAAGAACTACTAACTGCTATTTCTTCATGTAGTTTGCACCAAAATGGAGAAAAGGATCATGGTTGATGTAGTTCCCTCTGTTTTTTAGCCATTACTGCATGAATTTAAGCAAATAAACTTGTGATTCGATATATTGTGGCCCACGACTTTTGACGATATTTTGGTTATTGTTACACCACTAATATTTATCATGATATTCAAACATTTGTGTGACTGTTTGAGATCTCTTACAAAGTTTGACTGAACTATGGTGCCTTCTTGATAAAGCATAACACAACACTCAAGGATCCTCATCAAAACTACAAAAGAGAAGAGGAAATATTCACATACCATTCAAATTATTGTTTTGAAGAGATACAAGCCTATTACCTGTAATGTATAATTTAAAAAAAAAAAGACTGCAAAAAGACCTGGTAATAAATAAATCTCTCTCTCTTTCTGACTTTTTTTTTCATTCATGTTTTTTGCCCTTTGCTGTTCTTGAACCTCAAAATGACATTAGAAAATATATTCAAGCAAACTTTAACTGCTTTTCTAATTCTAGTCTTATTATAAATCCTAATGCACAGAGATTAAAAAAAAAATACTGTATGCATTCTTTTTGGACTTATTGCTATGTGTTAAAACTAAAACTTAACTCTCGGCACATGGCATGTTTTAGAAATTGTGATAAGTCCAAGTAACAAGAATCAATTACTAAACTTGTTGTAAATTACATAAAATTCTATTATGATCATTCTGACAGGTTGTTACAGCTGCTATCTCAACTGCCCATGTCTTATTATAGTGCACAATGTTGTAGTTTGCAATGGTTAATCAGGCTCTATAATCAGATCAGTGCCATTTCCACAATGTCTAAACTTTGTAATGTTATAACGCTTTCCAAATGTTAACTAGATCGACTGCTGATAGTTGTTGTAAAGGTTAACAAACTCTTAAACCTCTAACTGGCTAATGGTTCTCACAAGCCTGTACAGCTGCACCTTCACACGCACATCCTCTGAACCTCTTTAGACCAAATGACAAAAGCCTTCCAACTTAATACCACAGTGACAAACAAACTGCTATCCCCTCCTCTAGTCCCGATGAATACGTGATCTCCTGTTAGCCGCAAAGGGGGCTTTCAGGGCCAAAACGCGCTCGCACACTTTTCACAAACGCATCCTGCCGGCAACGCCACTTGTGTTTCAGTAACGAGAGCTGAAAGAGCCGGGGAACGCAGAGGGGATAATTCAATGATCCGCCTTTATGACAAGAATCTAAAGGTGCCGATTGTAAAAGGAAAGGATTAGCCCGATTCAAAGCTGTGTTAACAAAACACAGAGTTAGGACAGCTGAGGGGGGAGCAGGAGGGGTGAAGAGGTCTGCTAAAGGTCTTTGAGAAAATACCAATTACAATCACTTTAGGACCCCATTTTACGTGTGTTTGTGTGAAAACAGTTGAGGAATCCTCGCCTTTGACTGTATTTTGTGGTTAGAGGTTTGATTCAGCGCAAGTGACAGCTAATGGAGAACGCGGCAACATCACAACGCTCATTTTCTACTCTTCTGATCATTTTCAAAAGAATTTACTCACATAGAACAAAAAGCTCTTTAGATCACTACTGAAAGACCAACTGTGAATGGACACAATTTTTCTTATCATACCAATGCTTCACTCAGCACATTGCACGTTTAAAAACAGGATACCCACATTAACAATCAATACTGACACTAGTATCAAGACATTAATTTGATCAAGTTTTGACACTAAAAAAGAATACATAAAAGGATGAAGATGGACCTTTCCTGGATAGTTTTACAATGGAATAGTCTGACTATATCAAAACTAGTGTAAGACCACAGGAAACTACTATTATTGTGGGTTTAAAAATACACTCCGTTATAAACTAAATATACGCGTGCAAAATGTGTGGATTTTTATTCATCATTGCCACATCAAATTTGAGTTATAAGCTTTCGTATCGTGACATTAAACATTTAGTAAAAATTACAATAACACTTTTTGATAATTGATAGTCTGATTAGTTGTAGAAGCTCTAAACTTGGCCTGTCCTTCCATGCCCTGTTGTTTGGTCTCATGCTGGAGGTAGGGGTCTTACCGTTAGGTGCTGGAAGAGCCAGGCCCTCATGATGTTGGTGGCCACTTTGGGGAAGATGCCTCGTTTCTTCTGTCGCTTCTTGTCCTGGTCGTCTTCATCTCCTGTTCCAGGTGACGCCAGGCTGTTGTCCAGACCATCCCCTGTACAAAAAAGGTAGAATTTCTTGAATAATACTGATTTAATTATGCGTAAGGATGTAACAATAATTGAAATATTGTGATATCATATTGTCAAAAGTTTCACAATAATTATACCCCCCGTTTTCTAGTGGTTGATAATAATAAAAACGTGAAACTTGTGTGTGATTAAGAAGAATTGTTGCACTCGACCCATTCATGACTAACATGTGAGTCAGTATAGTCACATTTTCTTTTTTTGGTCATTTTTAAGCATCCTTTTCTGTATTTTCCCTAAACAAATGACACTGTATGCTTCTCTTTACCATCAGCAGGGATCAAATTGGTCAAAAATAGGTACACCTGGGACATTTCTTGTATAAAACTGGAACAAATCAATGGTTTTGGAAAAATCTGCTGGGACAGGGGACACAGGGCTCAAAACTGGGACTGTCCCGTGTAAATGGGGACATCTGATCACCCTAACAATAATATCATGGGCCATCACGATATAAGTACGCTTGAATTCATAGTAGCAGCAATACCAAAACAATGGAACTGCATAGACCATAATCCTTTGTTTCAGCCCAGTCTACATGATTAAATAACTGTTGATAAGCACTCTTAATTGTTTGGACTATGACCGAAAAGTTGCATATTCACAGTTCAGGAAATATCGCAATAAATATTGTACCGTGAGATGCATATCGTGGAAATATTGTATCAAGAGATTTAGATATCGTCACATCCCTAATCAAGTAAATAATGTGTCAAGTAAATAACTGTAAACTAATCAAACTAACTCAAAAGATTCTTCAGCTAACTTGCTCCCCTGTATCCTTGTATTTGCTGTGCGCCGTGTGTGGCTCAAATCACAACTCTGTCGCTCCTGATGTGCCCCGAAAGAACAAACCCAGATAGTGTGGCTCTCACCTCGACGTGACTCTGTGGACACTGGTTAATGAACAGGAGGCTGTGGAGTGCCAGCGCAATAAAAACACTGCTATTAATCCAATGTACGCCTCCAGTTTGACGTGGGCTAATGAGAGGCGAGTCAGAGCCTTACATAAAATAATGATGTTCCAACCGCACTGGCCCCGCGCTATATGTGGCCCACTTCTGAAACACCACTAATGCTCTGTGGACAAGGAGCTAATCAGAGACGGAGCAAAAGGAAAGGCCAGGGAACGAAGCATGCACCTGTTAGCATCGCTTTCTGTCAGGCCACTAGAACACAACACAACAGCCTACTTCTATGGATGACTGGGGAAAAGTGTCATTTAGATTTTTCTAACTGATATTGATAAATATAAATGAATTATGTCTTGTCTTGTAAAAATGGAGAAGACTAAAATTGCAAAACTATGCAGGTGTAAACTACAGAAGTAACAGACTTTATTTCTACAAAGATACAGGGCATTTAGTTTTCTCCGATCTTTCTGATTTACTGATTGCAATAATAAGTAAATCTTAATGACTAATAACCTAATAATTAATAATCTTAATGACTTCATCCCTTTCATTATGGTATTATAAAGCCAAGATGTAAACACACACCAATTGAAACTTGCTTAGAAATTTTAAAAATATAATCTTTTTAAGGACACTCAGTCACAGGGTGGACAGTTTAAATAACTAAAAATGAGATCCAGGTATATTTGAATAGTATATTTAGTGTCTTTTGCTGTTGTCTCAAAGTGGAGCAGGGTTTGGTGGTTGTTTGGGGGTGGGTCACTGATGAAAGCTCCATGTGTTCCCCTGTGCTGTGCTCCTCTTTCTGCTCTTATCTTTGGGCTGGAGCTGCTCCCATTAGCAGAGCAGTGTTTGATTTCGGCGGGGAGCGGGCTGGTCCGGGCAGGAGGCCGCCTTTAAGCTGAGACTTCCGCCGCTGCCAGCTAACAGCCTCCAACGCAGGGCACTCCTCGGACGCATTAATTGTGTATCAGCCGAGATGATTTACTTTTAACAGTGGTGGTTATTTTTCTGGCCCTCGGGGCAGAGGAGCCTTGAAAGCCTGCCTGGAGGGCATGTGAATAATGCATCTGAGAGACTCCTCCCCCGGGGGCAGCAACCCTACTTTTCTTAAGACTGGCCTAGCATGTCTTTTTGTTTTTGGAGATGCATCAATCAAACGTGCCTATATGAGCCATATTCATGCATAAATATTTCAGTTAATGAACATGGACAATACAAGGGCATGCTCTAGGGCCAGAGCTGAGGGTGCATGGGAGTCCAGGCGGGTGTGTCCGGGGCTGGTGGGACAGGCTCTGCCCTCTGTCTTAAACTAACACTGTGTGTACTCAGGTATAAAGGAGGAGCATGGTTCAGCTGACAGAGGCACAAGTTTGACCGGCTCTTTCACCTGTACCATGTTGTAATGTCAAAAGCAGTATTATTAATATGTGGACATACGGGGAAAATATGAAAGCATTCATATAAAATATAAAACAGAAGCATATCTGACTAATTGTCGGCTACCCCTCCAACACACACATACACACACACACACACACACACACACACACACACATATAGACACAGGCCCTGAGTGCGTGGCTGCTGAAAGCGGCCGCGGGGCACACGTTCTCTACACTAATGCTTTGTGACTGTTGGCGGGCAGTGCGGCTGTCTGTGTGCTGTGTGACGCAGCGCGCTCAGCCCCCCTCGTGCCAGTGTTGGCGGGGGGTGGAGGGTTGGGGAGGGGGGAGCACCAGAGGGAACACTACTGCAGGATTGGCCCGAGGCTACTCTGAGAAGCTCAGAGAAAAACAGCTCCTGAAGACATGAGGAAGGCTTCCTCTAAAGCAGGCTCTTAAGCACTCAGCCTTTGTCCCACAGACATGCATGGGTATACATGTGTGCAAGGGGCTATGTCAATATTTATCTAGTCACTTATAACACTCACAACCATTAGAAATATGTAAACATGATTTTTTTTCTATTTCTGTATGGTTTCTATGTTTAAGGAGTTGTATACATGTTAATATTTATGGATACACATGATTGACAAAAGCTTAGGACATGCTCAACACTTAAATTATTACAATATTATCAGTGGCAGTGAATGGGCATGCGAGTGGTTTAAGTCCTGAGCCTCATCCTGACCGTTCTGACTGTGGAGTTGTGCTGTGATATAATCGGTGTAATAAGTAGAATGATACTTGTGATGGTGGTCTTTTACACCAGGCCTATGGGACACACTGTGCCAGCCGCAGTGATCATCTCTGATCGTCTGTTGGTTTTCTCGGTGGTTTGTTGGTCATGTTAACATGTCCATTAGCAGCTAGCTGAACTGATTACCCACAGTCCCTCATCAGTGATGCAGAGCCAGTGTGGTCTGCCTAACCTTCTCAGGGGCCCCTCATCCATTAGCACTGTCACGGTGTGGCCCCCACCCCATCATTACTCTGCTCACACTGGGAAAGTCTAAGGAGCAGCAGCTCTGAGCTGTGGTCACAGTTAAATGACTTTTGGTCCAAATCTACCTCTACATTAACATAATGAAGCAGGAGGACTGTGTGCTAGGTGCTTGAGCAGGTGTAATACTGTCGGCCTGTTGTGCAAAGTTTATAATAATGATACTACCTGACACTACTGTTCAAACCAACCACTGCCCAAATGTATACCGTTTTTTTCTACAGTATATACATGTGGTGCATTTGTAATATCTGAAATATCTATGCATGAGTAGGCTTTGGTTCACACAGACTTCCTGTCCTCACTCCTCCTCACAGCAGTGTCCTGAGGTCCCCCGCAGGATCTTTTGGTTCCTTTGTCCTGCTGTGGTCTTTGTGATGGACATTTCCAGAACCCCATTCCAGCATTCCAGGGATATCGGGCCCTTAGCTGCCATCCACACTCCCACTCTGGGGGAGCGCACTATCAAAGGGCCCTACAGCACATCACACAGAGGGCACAGTGCATCACAGAGGGGCCAGAGCACTACACACAGGGGCCACAGAACATCACAGAGGGGCCAGTGCACTACACACACCAGCCAAAGAATATCACCCAGGGGCCTTGAAGCACAAAGGGCCACCGAACATGATCCACTGACCAAGGGCATCACCCAGGGGCCAGAGAACATCACACAGGGGCCATAACGGAACAGCGTCATTAGACCAGGGGCCGAGTTCACAACTACTCACTGTCGGCACTTCCTCTTGGACTCAACCCATAGACAAGCACTATATTCTGTTTATCACAGGCTTTTAACATCAATAAGCAGCACAAATTCTAACGCACAACACAAATGTATTTTCACTTTGCCACACAGTCAATATCTATTTCCTTGGTTTAACTCTGGTCACCAAAATACCTATAGTTGCACATGAGTCTCTCGCTGCCTTGGGAGTGGGGAGGCCATTGTTCTCTATCTTCTCTATCTCTATGGGGGGCACTGCACACCCCCATCCACACACATTCTACAGCAGGTCAAAAGGCCAGAGGGAAGGGCTGCTGAACACAAGTTATTCAAGCTTCTATCTGATCAAACACCAAAGAAACAAGTTGAATTATCTCCATTTAAGAGGCCAGTTACAGAAATGAGTCATAAAATGGGCAATGCTGCCAATTTTTGACTAAAAATTAAATGATCAATTTAAATTTTATGAATGAGATTAAACAAGCTCACTATAACAGTGTTGTGGCTGCATTAAACATGTAGCTGATGTGGAGCAAAAGACATGATTTTCAGTTCACAACATTTAATTTGACGTCACTAATTTCAAAGAAGTCACATCACTTCTAAAACTCCCTGTGACTACAGTGAGCACTTTCTTGCAGTTCTCAGTGGAAGAAAGTGGGGGAAACAAAATCGATTTTCTTCCAAACATATCACTTTAAATGTAAATATGATGAATTAATTGAATCGATTAATTGCCCGCTGCTAAAAACGGATGTTGGAAAAATCTGCAGTTCTTGTCTGTGGGAGCATCCTCTCATTGTTGTGCTGTTCACTGAAGCCTGATGGGCACCGGGGAAAGTAACTTTAAAGCCTCTTCTATTTTTACTGCAGCCACGGGGCACGAAAACAAAAACAAGCCATAAAACTGTGATAGGCTCCAATTAGCACATCGGAAACTCCAGCAGCTCGGACACAACACACAAGGCCTTAGCTTGCACTGATGTTAAAGTGATGGTATAGTTGAACAAGACATTTTGGAACAATAATCTACGGAAATTATTGAATTTAACATCGGTCTGCTCTGAGGGTCAAATTTAAACTCATCATAGTGTTTCCATACAAAACAAATTCCCATTATCTGATTTCTGGAGTTATCAGATTACTGAAATGTCCTGTAAACAGTTAGATCTGATGTGAGTAATCTGATTTCTTTATGACTGTTCACACTTGTGTAGGCATTGATCTGGCAAATTATGCAAAAAGGGTAAACTAATGCGACAAAGGCAAGAATGAAAAATGTTCAGGATTGAAAAATGAATTGTACTTTGTCTTCTGAACACAACACTTACTCTAAAACTCTATTAATTAACTGATGCATGTCAACCTGGTGTTTTTGTGATCATATTTCCTTTGGGCATGTAAACACACACCACAAATCAGATATAATAATTGGTTATCTGATTAATCTGGTTATCTGATTTTTATTTAAATGTACCCAGTGTCTTTTTTTGTTGTTGTAAAGTCACCAATTTAGAACTGTACTGAAAATTAAAACAATTATAAACTAGGTCTAAATATTCAATAATGGGAAACCCAAAAGACCCACAAAAGCCAAGCCAAAAACTGCAAAAAAAAAGTCAAGACCACTTAAACAATCTGACTCATCTTAGAGGTAACTTCTGATGACATCTCCACCTTCCCCATAATGGACCTCATTAAGACAAATAGCAGTGGTTTGTAGGCGGGCCTTTGCTTATCACCATGCAGGAAAGTGTTTATCCCAATCTGTGTGATGAGATTAGATGGGCCCCCCGCAGCTCTGAGAGGTCAGCCCAGAGTCAGGCTTTGATATGGAGAAGACTTTCTTACCCAGGTCACTGGTGTTGTCCCCGCTCTGTGACACGTGGCCCCCACTCGAGGGCCCCGGGGTCCCCACCGAAGGAGTGGAGTGGGCGTCGTCCAGGTCTCTCCAGGAGGCGGGGTTCTGAGGGGTCAGGAGGGGTCACACACCGGGAGACAAGACAGAAGACAGAACATCACAAAGGGCTACTTAGGCTGTTGTCAGCGAAAACAGCAAATAAAATAAAATAAAATAAAATAAATACTGTGTCATAACATTAAAAATACAGATTATATATAAGGGAGGAAATTGGTCAAAATGATCAAATCTGACATCAGAAATAAAGTTAATAGCATTCACAAACTAAGAATTCCCTTTGGTGTTGTAGTACAAAACATGACATCTGCATGCAAGACCATCTTGGAAGACTGAAAATTTCAATATTACCACCAACAAATGTTTTACAGCACTATCTTGCCCATGAAGTATCCACAAACTAATTACAAAATCTATTTTAAAGAACATGTGCAATGAAACTAAAGTGCACACCAAATAAAGCACCTATAAGTCTATGTTTGGGTTAAGGTTGATGTGTTTCTCCATCAACCCAAAACATACACCATACGTAAAATCCTTCAGCTGAGGTAGTCCTACCCAAGATTAGCTCAAGATCTAGACATGGGTCGCCTGTCCCAGATTGACAGGATGGGTCAAACACAGATAACAATCTTTAAAAAGCCTTGGTCTCTTCGGACATTACCATGATGTAGCTGGTATTATGTTAGAAGTCCACAGAGAGCTCCTTTCTGTCCTGCCTGTGTGAGTAGTCCGCTCTGCTCTGTGGCCCCTGAGCGGAGCCTGTACTTATAGTGCGAGGGCCTGGCCCCTGAGCCTGGCTGAGCTCTGAGTACACAGCCTCTTGAGGTGCTCGGTGTCAGCTGTTCACCGGATGGCCGTCAGTGAAGAGCTCAGCAGATGACAACAAGCCGCGTGCACAAAGCCTGAGTGAATGGGCCCTTCTTAGTCATTACACTGCTCACACACACACGCACACACACACACACACACACACATATACGCGCACCCACTCAAAGGGCCGCCATGTGTTTCCATGTTTATCAAGCTAATGAAGGGCCCCCATCTGTTGACACCCAATTAACAACACACTGCTCTAAGCACTGCAGGACACAATCCGCATGTTGCCCGTTACACACTGTAAACTCTTACAATGTACTGCTACTGTGTACTTCTTAATCTTACCACTTTGGTTTAAGTTTCTATAGGACTGAGGGAAGATTTGTGTAACTTTGTAATTACACTAATGTTTCTATAGCAAAAGTAAATATTGGCCATTCAGTATAATTACAATAAATGAGAGGGGAATTATTTCATTTTGAGTTGAATATTTATTGGATAGTATGTATCTTTTCTTTGCCTGTTACCTGTATTTAAATAGATTTTTTAACTGAAGTATAATGCGTGTCATTGCGTTTTTTAATTTTTGCAACCTATGTCTTATTTAAGGCAAAGTTAAGTTTGCACAGATATATGGTTTGCTGGGATTATGATGCTTCAGAGTTAAAGAATCAGTGGAATAAAGTTGTCTTCAGTTTCTTCAGCAATTGATAAGAATATGAAATTGTGTCCAATGTACATGAAAACAAATCTTACTGTCTAACAAAACTTACTGTCTGGCAGATTTCTTCCCTCTATTCAGTCACGCGACCTAATTAATCCCAAACTATATTACACAAAATAAAGCCATCTTGCATGTCTTAAATGCTGCTGTGGTCAGTCCATGTCAGCTGCTCATAAGAAAGCGTTACTGTATTCAGATGAGCTCAAACATGCTCAGCTTAGTGCGCTTGTATGCATTTCTTTGTAAAAGCCAAAAATAGGAAGCGTGTGTGTAAAGAGCCCAGCAGGACGCAGCCAAACAAAGAGGCCAGAGCACAAACAGCTGCAGCAGCACGCTTGGAATCAACACCATCAATACATTCGCATATAGTCTGCTCCCGTTTACCGTGCCACACTTTAACACTGGGTCTAATGGGTATATGGTCTATGGGTCAACGTCATGAACTGCTAATTAACTAAATACATGTACTACAAATGTAATAAAAAATACATGTACTACAGACAGCAGAATACTAATTTTGAGAAACTGTATTCCACTATAGTGACTACACATATAATTTAGGCCTAAAACTGCATGGTGTTAATGAGAAAAAACAGAAAACACAGCTCTTGTGCATTCTTCCTTTTCTGGTTAGTGATAAATTAGAAATGCACTGGAAAAAAACAATATCTGCATAAGTTAAAATGACTTAAATTAAGAACATTTTACTTAATTTGAGTAGATTCAACTAGACAAGTGAGATTATCTACCAAAAGAAAAAGTGTTTTTATTATTTTAAGTGCAAAGAGTTGTTGTTTTTCTTATTTTAAGTGCAGCAAGATGTATTTTCATATTTTAAGTACAAAAAGACAGATAATTGTACTTATCAAGCGGAATTTACTCAAATCATGATAAAAGTTTCTTAATTCAAGTCATCTTAACTTGATTAGATTTTGTTTGTTGCATTGTGGTGAAAGAAACAGAAAGACGTTTTAATCCTAGCTGCATTTTTTTTTTTACAATATAATATAAATATTTAGAATAGAGTACTCTGATTGTGCCATGTGATGCAATACTGAATACGTTTTAATGCAGGTAATTCAGTTTCCAAGTATTCCTCCCAACACTGTTAACACTGCTCAGGCCAACTGGGCAATGACTTAATTTTGTTTTTACACCAGATTCTATTTTTGCTATGTATTTTAAATGTATTATTACCATTTATATATTTATCTCTTTGTTATTATAGGTATTATGATGTGCAAGCTACTGTATCCAAATAATTTCCCTCGTGGATCAATAGAGTTTTAAAGACACCCAGCCTGGTTATACTCAGAGACAGCAGAGCCACCTGCATGCAGCTGTGAGAAGGGAAGGGACTCACGTGGTCGGCCAGGTTGGTGGAGGACCCTGACAACTCATCGAAGTCGGACTTGCACATGTCCCGGTCCTCGATGACCAGGTCGATGGGCATCTTCCCTTTGAGGCAGCTGATGTAGCGGTGGCAGAAGTTATCACACAGCTCGTGAACCTGAACACACCAGGGAACACCTCAGTACTTTATCGCCCATTCATATTTACTCAAAGAATGCGTAGGCTGTGTATGCGGCACCTTCTCCAGCTCCAGCAGGTGGAAGCGTAGCACCTGGATGGCTTGGATCATCTGTGAGCAAGCAAAGCAAAATTACAATTATGTTTCAAGACAAAAACAAAAAAAATCTAAACTTCTTTTCATTTATTGTAATATTCTTACCAGATTATCCAGCTCTGGGTTTGATGAAAACAGAGGCTTTTCTGCACGAATCTGAAAGAAGACAATTTCCATTTGATATCCATTTATTATTTATGCAACAGTTCCTTTTAGCCATCTAAAAATAGTTTTGCTTGTTAAGATGCAGCTCCTTTCTAATAAGCAGACTAGCCTACAGGCCTTTTGATTAGAAATAATTGCTTACTTTAGAACGTGAGTAATCCAAGCGTGTTTTTTTCCCCCTTTTGACGGCATGAAATCATTTAAAAGCATACAAAGTCTACCCCAAACAATTTTACAACGGATCCCAGCAATTATTTAAAGGAGTCGTTTTTGGCTGATGTTGTCCACTCCGATCAGAAATATGGAGCTACATGGAGCTACAGGCCTTTTGCTCAGCTCATTTGGTTGGGTTGGCAGTAGCAGAGTTGCGCGCCACGGGCTGAATGCGCGCGCTTTGGTCCTCCTCACCTGTTTGGCGAACACCGCGATGTCCTCGTTGAAAGAGTCCGAGGAGCAAACGTCACCCCCCGCCACGCCAGGTTCACGCGGTGTGCACGTGGCCAGCTCGCACTTCTCAAAAACCAGCGCCAACAGCGGAAATAAAGGGTGTCTGTAGATACAAGACACACATTTTGTTCTCAATTTCACAGGAGTAACTTTTAAAACAAATCGCTGCAGTCTCTCAAAAGGTTACCCTAATTAACAGACACAAAACTATACTCAAGGTAGGTTCTTTAATTTGGATAATCAGACTAGACTCGTAAAAAGTTGGTCACGTTGCCTTTTTGTGCGCGTACCCGTAAATGTGGTCCTTGTCCCTCTTGAGTGCGTCGCTCACGGCGCTGCCCATGCTCCCGGGCAGGATGTTGTGCGGTGCGTGAGCTCCATAGTGCTGCGTGGGGTGAGGAGGGGGCCCGTGGTTCAAGTGGTGCACCTGGGGAAGCGGCCGGGGCGCGTGAGGGTCTCCGTACATCGACGTGGGCACGCCGACACCGTCCATGGCTCCCCCGTAATGTGCCAGTTCGTCGTACTGAAGGAATGCACGGATCGATACAGGAGATCAACCAACAATAAACTGTCCTTTAGTGAGTATTAATTAAAACATTATTTATAGAACATAATCTAGAATTTTATCCACTTTTACACACAGGGACATTTTGGTTACATTTTACAGTTTTACATTTTACAGGGTTAATTAAGACACAGATGGATGTGTTGAAGCCAAGCCCCAAAACAATATTTCTAAATAATGGAAATCGCTTTGAATGTTGACACTTTTTCCTCTTTTTAATTTAACATAATTGTAGCCTATTTAATTAGCTTTTTAAATTTCTAAACACAGACTGGAAAAAACAGACCGCTGCAAAAGCTTCACTTTTTTAATCTTTATTTTGGATAATTCAGAAGGGCAATGCAGATAATGTAGACCATTTCTTATTATGTAGAGGAATTCAGTCCTGCAGTTACTGTGTTCTTTTTCCCTAAAAGAAGGCCACTGGTCTCTGCGTTTAATTGTAGTTTATCATACGTACTTGTCATTTCAAGCCACAATTCTCAGCACACCACTGCATTTTTGAAGACAGTCGCAACAACCCACTATTTATTTTTAATGATTCATTTTTATTATTACGTTTTCTTTAATTACACACAAAATAAAACAGATGTCTACACATTTTAGAGCGTGTGCGCGCTTACAGCAGAAGGCCAGGAGCTGTCAACAATGAATTGATTTTAGGCCTTTTGTTCGTTTGTCATATCTGACAGAATTTCTCGGCCTACTAAAGTATTGTGCTATTCAAAATAATTATATCAGGATTAACAGTAAACCTCGTTACATAGCGCCGCACTGCCTTATTCTGTGCCTTTTTGTGTTAGCAAAAAGCACAAAACTAAAACTTTCAAGCATAATTATTTTTCTCTTTTGTTGATAATTCATGGATAAAGTGATTGTTATAGGTAACTTAAGTGTAACTTAATGCGTAAAGTAGAAAGTAAACAATTTAACAATACAAATATAAGTCCACATTTGTTTAGTAGCTCTGACAAGAAAAATATTGCCTAATAAATTTCAAGTTTGCAGAGGCTCATAGTGTGTAGTTGGTAAATGAGCCCAGGTCGCTTCTTTATAAAGCGTGAGGCTTTATGAAACAGTGCAGCCGACCTGAGCTCCAATGGGCTAAACATTTAAGAAAGACGCACATCCCCTTTTGGCACGGCATAACCCATTTGCATTAAGCACCTACCCTTTGCGCCATCCTATTTGCGCGGTCCGGGACAGAGGTACTCCACTTATTGTAATCCGAAAACAAACTAATAAGGGTCCTTAAAAGCGCGTTGAGCGCGTTTCTTTCAAGACAAATCCCTCTCTGGCCCGTGCGTCACCATGTGCCCAACGCTTTGCACCAGCTGGGCAAGGAGAGGAGTTTCTCAGAGTAATGGAGCCGGTCAGTGGAGCAGGTCTGGTATCAGCGCAGTCCGAATCATCACCTGGGCCCCGGGAGCGCGTCAGGACAAGATCAGCTCAGATCCTCTCTGCGTCCACTGCAAGAGTCCACACGCTGTGGGGGCGTCTCTGCTCTGGAAGAGCTTATAGCCGTCTGTCTCTCTCTCTCTGCACCGCTCACAAGGCTCGTGACCGTGCGCGTGAACAGCATGAGATCCCACAGCAGGCGACTTCCGCTCTGCGTCTAAAATAAAAGCCCCAAGAGTGTAATGCTCTGCGCTGTTCTCAAAACGAGGCAGTCCCACTTGTAGAAAAAAAATCTCCTTTACAGGTAAACACATATAAAAGGTGTCGCAACACATTTTCAACATCCCACACTCGCAGTTTGCACTTACCCCGAGCTCGAGTAGAAATAATATGAACTCCAACACTCTGTTCCCAGTGAGAGCGTTCTGGTGGCGCTCTTATTTTGAAGAAAGCGTTGTCCTGTTCCTTCAGATTAAAGCGTGTTTTGACACGAGCTTGTCACAGTTTCACTTTGGATCGTGCCAAGGACCGACCTGTACCCGCGCATTTCTCAACTCTCTTCTTGTTGGACCGTCGGTGATGACTCTGACATGTATATGTATAAAAATAAAGCTTGATGATAATCCTTTATCAAATCATTTTGTACAGTTCAGTTGGGGCGAACTGAAGATCCATCCTCTGGTCTCTAAAAATAAATGCCCTTATCAGCAGCAAAGGCAAAGACTAAATCTAATGCTGTAACATTGTCTCAGATGAATGAACATGTCAAACTGGTGTTTTGATGGACAGCCCTGATAGGGGCAGAAAAGTGCAGATCCTTCACATTTGCCAGTGTGACTTCCACTGCTCCAGTGGTACTACTGTTAGAAGTGTTTTTTCCAGTAAAAACATCTTCATGGTGCAAAGCCAGGATTAAACCCTGCATCAGTGAGGCCACCACAGGTCAGTGCTGTTGTGATGTATAGAGCTACAGCAGCTCAATCACATGTGACAGTGTGCTGAGTCTCAAATCCACTCTGATTAACAGAGAAAACATATCTGATAAATGGACATCCCGGCTGTAATATGTTTATTTATTCACTGCTTCTCTTTCTCAAACTTCACAAGGTTTCATTGAATTTAAAGAATAATTTGTTCATAAGTGCCATTTCAACATTGTAACTTCAGGTTAACACATTTGTGCCACATATTTCACACATTTAAGCACTAACAGAAAAGCAACTGGCAACGGACAGCCCACTGAATACTAATCCATCACATTTCCAATAACAAAATGTATGCAGGGTGATGCAGCTACAAAAATGTTATATGTTATACACTGATATTTAAATTACAAAAGTATTTAAATAAAACACACACAATTCTGACTTAAAAAGAAAATATAAGGATTAGTTATCAAGTAAATCTCTCATAGAAAAGCTCATTAATGTACAGTTTCCTTTGCAGAGCCTGATCCCATAATGAGGAAGCGTTTGCCTAAAAGTTTTTTGGTTTTTTGATCCAAAGAACGTACACTACGCCTTTTGATATGCTCCGCGTGTGAATTATTAAAAGCACGGATTTGAATTATAAATACACTAACTATAAGGAAACAGGCAAAACATGCAGGCAGCCCGGGGCTACATCTCTCCTCCTCTGCTCTCCTTCCACTCCTTTGTGTGTTTACGTGCCCCCCACACCACCACCCCAGAAATACCCCTCCACCCCCCCCACCCCACCGCGGCGCGCTCCGGTCTGATCTGAATAGAGCCTGATTCAGGGTGTCAGGGCTTGTCTTAAGTGTAATAAATTACCATCTCAGCCACATCACCAGAGAGGAGCGTGTACCAGCATCCCTGACCTCCACCCCCCCACCAAACCCCTCCGCACCCCCCCGTCCCGCACACACCCAGGCCAGTCCGGGTGTCAGACGGCATCCACAGTCCCGCTGAGGATCATTAGCATTGTCAGAGCTGGGCCGGGATGGGAAAAGGAGGCCAAGTAGCGCGGACCTGGATGGAGAGCATGGTGGGAGCATTGAGCATAAACATGGATTTGTATTCAAGAGGGTCAGGCGGAAAGTTTTCTGTCAAGTGTGCACTCTGGGGTGACCAGGGGTGTGTTGAAAAAATGTGCATGCAAGTCTAAAGTGTGAGCTACATGGTTAAGGGGCTGATCAGAAGGGATGAGCCTTATATCAGTTCCAATATCCAGTATTCCAGGGATATTGGAGGTCACTCATATCAGTATATAAAGTGTTTGGCATGGGTTTTCTGTATTATTTTTAGAGGTGTGAAAAAATATCAAAATATCAATATATCGTATAGTTTAATGTGATGATACAGCATAGATATCGTGGGCTGCTGTATTTTTTGGCATATTTTCCTGAATTATTTTGTTACATCGCTACAGTTTTGTTGCTTATTTAGAGAAAGGTGTAGGAGACAGGACTGGTGCACTGTGTAGTTGAGGGTGTGGGTGGCTCTGGTGCAAAGGGGGCGGGGCTCACGTGGGCAGGTGCGCTTGCATGTGTGCCTGTGGAAGGGTTTATGAGCGTGCACTTACCTGTTACCCAGTTGTGATTGAAGGTCAGGGCTGGGTAGCTGTAATTTTTGTTGACTGCCACTCTTCCTCTATACTCACCCTTTATTTTCCAACTGGTTCTATCCATCTTCTTTGCCGCGCTGTGATTGCTGTATGTCTGGTAATAAATAAAATGCATTCTGAATCCCATCGTATTAGTTTACAACAGCCTCCAAGCACGTCACAAACTATAAGGTTGGTCAAGAAGCTGCTACAGAAGGAAACTTGTTTATGCGACACATTTGATATTTTCATTGTTTTGATGATTAAACATGTGTGTCTTTATATAAACTTTGCACAAGAAGTGGTTTAACAAGACTTTTAGTATCACAGACTTCATTTAGCCAGTATTTTTATTGAACCATATCGAATCGTTTTGAAATATATTGTGTTGAATCAAAAGTTCACTGTATTGAGATATGTATTGTATTGTGACCTATGTATCAAGGTACTGGCAACTTCTTATTAATACCCAGCCCTAATTATTTTATTATTAATAGTGGGATCAAGCAAAAATAATCCATATCAGACAATCTACTGATCATTATAGGTGACAGTTGCATTTGTCATTTGTTATTTGTCATTGGTCATTCTTCTTTAACCAATTTATGCATACTTTGACATACTGAGCACATACCCATGAACTCACTGAGTTTTGGTTTCTTGAACAAGTTGAAGTGACCCAGTTTTCATGGGTTTGGGTAAAGTAGAGTAAATACACATGCGCTGTAGTGACAGGAGCAACAGACTGAGATCACAAACAGGTACATAGACAGTGGACAAAGATATTTACCACAAACATATAGAAACAAGAAAATTGCATAGGAGCCCATGAGTAGAGGAGCCACTGACAGGGAGCACTGACACGAATCACTGACAGGGAGCACAGATGCAAAGACAGGGGCCACAGTTGCAGTACCTTAGCTGGTAACAGACAGCGGCCACAAGCGACACACAGAGCCACTAAAAGGGACCATACAGACAGGAGCCACAGACAGTTGCATAGACAGGGGTCAAGGACATGAGCCACTGACAGGAGGCACAAAGAGGTGCAACAGAACTCCCACCAGCGGCTGCTTGGAGCATAGAGAGGGCCCACAAGCAGAGCCACAAACAGGGACCAAAGGCGTGCTGTAGATAGGTTCTCATAAGATTCAGCTTCCTGCTTTAGGTGTCATTTTGCGGTCTTTTGCCTATTCATTCAAATTATATCAAATTTTGTTTTGAACTGCTAATTATTATTGCAATAGCTCAAATTTTTCATCACTCTAAAACCCAGAGCGAGGATACAGACAGAGCTAAAGTCATGGGCCACGGGCAGGTGCATAAACAGGGGCTACAGGCAGGGGCCAAGGACATGTACCAGAGAGTAGTGCTTCAGACATCGAAGTGAGCCCACAGACAGACAGGGACAGCCCACACATGAGTAAACGCGAGCTTTCTCATCCTGTACTCTGACCATTATTGATAAACACTAATGTTCGCCGAGTAAAGTGTGTACAGAGGGGACAGTCTTTGTGCGGAGGGAGAAATGTGGCCTCTGTCATTTCCATAAAGCATCCATCACAAGACTCATTATAAATCCTTCAGCTAATGCAGCAGTCACCATCCATCAGCCTGTAATCAATTCACCCTGTGCTCCTGTTCATTACCCCTCCTGCAGCCCAGAGGAGAGAGACGAGTGTGAAGATGGGACCGCTTTTAGAACGCATCACTTATTTGTGCTATCAAATCTTTCTTGGACTTAAACTTGGACTAACTTTAATGATCCACAGGGGAAATTACTCGGACACAGTATGGCATTATAATATAATAGCAAAAGAGCAAAAAAAATAAGTGGTAATACTATTCAAATGACAAAAGGAAAGCAGCAAAAACAGCAGAAGACTTGTGTTGAAGAGAGCCAAATATACAGAGTTATACATGTGTAACTATAGAAAATAATGAATAGAAAATGTATCTAGGCCAATAAAATGGCTACTGGTCCATCTCAAATCTGGAAACTTTGTCTGAGTGTGTAAATAAAAGAATAATTTCTGCTAAAAGGATGGATGGGGTTGCATGGTGGTCAATGAGGGGATGGTAAGGTTAATATAACTTCACATGACATTGTGGTTAGATTTTGAGTTTAAAAAAATACTGCTACTTGCACTTTTTTCACATAAGTAGTATAAGATTGATTTAGGTCAAAAGAAGAGTTAAACTTCTGGAGCTTAGTCGTAGTATTGATGCGTAATTCTCCCCTGCTGCCGTGGTGCTTGGAGGTGGCTGGAGGTGGCTGCGCAGACCGCCCCCCCTCTGCCCCCCTCCCCGGGTGCGTGTCTGGGTGTCAGTATTAATGAGGCCAGATTTCATTTCCGATGAGCGATTATTTGACTGTTCATTTGGCTAAGATTTACGATGTGAGCCTATATCTGTAGCCCGCAGCACTGCTCTAGTCTTTAATAAAGGGAAATGAAGACATTAATCACCCGGCAGCAGTGAGCTCAGAGCTCGGGGACGCCATCCAATCTGCAGCGGCGTGGAGATCCGCGCGCACGGTTCAGACGCCTTATCTGCGCCGCGAGAGGGATGACTTGTCTCACTAACATGATTTAAAAGCCCAAAATACGAGACACGAGCGCAGGCTTTTCTTTGGGACAAGGCTGCGCGCGCTCTTATGGCCACCAGCTCTGCCACCGTGGTCACGTTTTTGTGACCTGTGTGTTTTTTATTTTTATTATTATTTTAATTTTTATAATTAATTAAACATGCATAGACGCTATATAGTTTAATTAGGCAACACAGTTATTAATAATAATGATTTTTTTCTTCACATTTGTCCCAAGGCACACAGTTTTTGTCTCGTATTATGTCTGTTATTGATTTTAGTTTATATATCTCCACACACAACAAAAAGAACCCACTGTACCCAGAATAACACTTGAAAAATATAGGTTTATTTTGCAGTATTCTTTTCCCTCGATATGCTATAAAAAGTTTCCCGTTGCTCATAAATTGAACCAAAATCTAAATTATACGCATCACAATAGCGTATTTTATTATTTTCCCACATTGTAGAAACCAAAGAAAGTGTTAGACAAATCTTAGGGAAATTTAAACCACTTTACTATTCAATTTCTGACAGACATTAACATGCAAAATATTGGTGGGTTCTTACAAGTAAAATGATAAAATAAAACTAGTCATCACACCGTTAAAGGGCCGTAAATGTCATCTGCTCCATGAAACATGTTTAAATAGAGATAATAATTTTCAAGCCTCTGGCGTCACAAAATTTAGTGCCGCGTCTGTAATATTCAGACAGATGAGAGACTGTAATATTCAGACAGATATGCGGCTCCATCTACTGGACATGTGTGGGATTACAACCACACAGAACCAAAGAACAGGTGCATAATGAAAATGAACCAGTTAATGGGGTATTACATTTATTTCAGTTTATATAACACGCCTATGGCATGAAATGAGCAATTCCAATTTATGAATGTAATTACAATAAATAAATAAATAAATAAATACAAAAAAAAAAAAAAAAAATAATTTTTTTCTTCACTGTCATAAAATATTAGATTTTATTTTATATTTATATTAGATAGAATAATGTAAGTCAGCTTTTGTAGTGAATGTATGATTTATTTATTTATTTTTGCCTAAATATTATGGCGACACCATGGGATATTTTATGTAAGTAATGTTCCCACCTCAGCACACCCATTCACTTCTAACACTCAGTGTGGTGTCCTGTCACTCTCATGCCGTTTTGTACAGCCAATAGGCCTGGTGGTGAAGTGTCTTACCTCAAATTCCACCTACTTTTGCACAGACAAAATCAAACCTCCAACCGTCTGGTTTCAACCCTACTTGGTGGAGACTGATATTGTTGATTTTACTGTTGTCTCCTTGAGCAAGACACCTGACCTGACTTGCCTTCAGTGTGCGCATGCACATAAGATTGCAGCACATGAATAAAATATAAACATGACATGTTTTGGCCCTTTTATTCGTTAAGAAATAGGAGGTGTCATGTTTAGTTAGTAAAAGGATGCTGACGACTTGTGATGCACTTCTAATCCACATTGGGGCGCTGTTTCATCAGCATATCTTGTGTCGCTATGAAAGAAATCAGACAAATTAGAGTCAATTCAGTTGATGTGGGCGAGAGGTGTCGCCAAAGCCTTTAGTTGTCAGGAAAAGCACACTGCATTGTTGTTGTAACTGTTGTTTATGTGAAAATGATGTGTCCTTGATGTTATCACTGCCACCTGTTGGACCTGGAACCTTTTAGTGCAGCACAGACAGACCACTGTGCACCTCGTGTCCTGTCCACTCCCAGTCGCATGGTCCTCCCCAGAGACTTCCATTCGGGACTATCTTGGTTATATCTCTTGTAAATTTACAAGGAATGATCATAGGTATAGATCCTGGATTTTTGCCAGTATAGGCTTATGATTTTTTAGCCATATCTAACTTAAATCAAATTTGCTCTTTACTTTTACTTTTGTTCAAAAGATGGCAGTGTCGCCCCGCCCCTTTACATTTTTAACACGTTATAACGCTCGCTTTTGTGTAAGTCTGCAAGGCATAAGATACTTCATTTAACCATCAAGTAAAGACGCGTAATGTTCATCATCATCATAAACATCTTTCTTTTCTCTCATTTCCTTTCAGAAGAATCTCTTTTGTTCATTAGAGCTCCCACGCGGCGCATCCACACTCTGCAGGTCTGACGTGTTGATGCCCGCAGTATACGTGAGGACGCTGGGCATGGCACGCTCTGGCGTACGGACCTCGCCAAAACGCACGAGCGGCGTGTTTTGCGACGGGGAGAGAGAGGTGGATCCGTGTGCCAACTACTCATGCCGCCGCATTCCGAAGTAAACACAGCGCACAGAGCAGCAGGATGTGAACGCTTAGGTCTCTGTCTGGAGCCCGGTCTCCCGCGGCGTTGGTTCGAGCTCAGTGGCGCGTGGCCGTGGGGGAGACTGCCTGCTGCTGATGCTGATGCGGGCATGGAGCAATGATGTGCTTTTACCTGCTCCCTTTCTCCATCCTCTCTCGGTTAAAGCCCAACTAAGACACTCGACGGCAGAATTCTCAACACTGATCCGAGGCAACAACGACCAGAAGAAAGATGAAATTTCCCAGTGAGAATCCAAGAAAACCGGGGAACATGAACCCACCTCCAGGTACAACATTTACGCACACTTGTCTCGTTCTCTGTCACTTGTCAGTTACTGCGCTTTTACTACAGGCTATGGCGCGTTCCTTTCTGCTCAGTGTTTGTGGAGCTGTAGATTAGAACATTTATAACCTCAGCCCAAAGCATTATCACTGACAATAATTGAACGCTATTGGGGGAAGCCCGGGGATAAGACTGAGGGGTGGATTTAAAGGGGTATTTAAAAGCTTTTGCGTTTGCATTTGGTCATTGTGGCGTTTATGAGACAATGAAAAGATAAAAGAGAGAAGATGATGTCCATAGATTGTCCATAATGTCACTGGTGAGAGAGGCTGAGGCACTGCAGTCACCCCCCAGCTCCGCGCGCTCGCTTGTATTAAAGACCTGTCGAAACATTGGCGCCTGCAGTGGAAGCCTCTCTCCATTACCTCATCGGGAGCGCATCTTCATGTGGCTCACGTCAGCTCATCCAGCCCAGAAGCAGCAGCAGCAGGTGAAGCGTGTCGGGCTCTTCCTAACCTGCCATGGCCCCTCACACAGCCTCTGCAGCGGAGCGGAGGAGGGGGAACAGCACCCGGGCCCCCCCCGTCTGCTCTTGTTGTCTTACGAGCTCGGGTCTCACCCCTGTCAAGCGCACAACAACTGTCACGAATCCCCCAAACAGTTGTTACGTAACATCTACTGAGAAGAGGAGATGTCATAGTCAAAAAACACCACGAGTGCCCTTGTTGGCGCGCACATCTGGCGACGTTTTCATTATCCGCACCAATAAGCTTCAAAATTAGCTTTGACAAAATATTTAGGCTCATCAAATGCGCCGTATGCTGCATTCAGGGTTCACAACATATCTTATGAGTTGGATGAGCTGGAAAATAAGAAATTCAAAATCATGTCTAAACAGGAGTCAAATCATATACAATCAGTAAAATCAATAGACCGCGTTTTCATGGTTTTGGTCTGTCTCAACCCGAAACTTTCTGATAAAAACACATTTGGACCGATCTGCTCTACTGCAAGACAAGACAGCACTCAAGCTGCAAATGGTCTCTCCTCGAATGACCTGAACAAGATTCATTGTGTTCTGGACCAGAGTTTAAGCTGTTTTATTGTTTGCAAAAGGTGGCATTTAAGGAAAACTCTCTTGTGACATTGTAGTTATTGTTATTTAATTTCTGAATAGAAGAATAAAATATGAATGCGAAGTCTACAGTACTGTGGAAATATTATGCCAAATGCAGACAAGATGCTTTCCGTCATTATGTCCTTGAGCAAAACACTTCACTCTGATAGAATGCAGTATGAGACGACTGCTGAATGATAGTCATGGTTTCTCAGTCTGTCCCAGGGAAGCTGTGGTATGCATAGTAGCTCACCACCAGAGCTGATACAGAGTGAATGAATAGGGCAACAAATTGTTAAGGGAATTTGAGTGTAACCAGTTGGTACTAAAGCTACAAGATCCTGCTTGGGGAGCAATAAGACTGCCAGCAGAGTCAGACCTGGGATTAATGTGCTGAGGAGGGGAGACATGTCTGTTTTTTGTATTCTTATGGTTCATAAAGTTGAACCATTTGTGAATATTTGTCCAGTTATATTCATTCATATTTATTCATATATTCATAAGGCTCGAATAAGAAATAGCAACATTCAGATATACTGGGATGTCATGTCCAAAATAATGATAAAGGTCTTGTATTCTGAATAAAAGTCACAAACATTTAAATTCCTTATCTGCTGTGTTTCCAAAATCTGAGCTCCATATTGAACAGACTTTGATATGGATTTCCTCTTCCTTTTCAGTTCCAGTTCACACCAACCTGGTCCCCCCGAAGAAGGTGCAGCCAGGCATGCTTCAGTCCAGCCTGGTTCACGCCAGTCTGGCCACCATGCAGAACCCCATGGGCTGCTCCCTGCCTCGCCTGTCCGTGTCCCGGCCGGCGAGCGTGGTGGCCAGTATAGAGGCGGGTCCAGATGGTACGGTGGTCTTCACCTTTATGAAGCTGAAGACTGTGCTGGCCGTGTTCGTGGTGGTGGTCCTGTACCTGGTGGCTGGAGGCCTGGTGTTCCAGGCTCTGGAACAGCCTTTTGAGGACAACCAGAAGATCACCATCACAGCAGAGAAAGCTGCGTTCCTCCACAGGCACCCCTGTGTGAGCCCCGCTGAGCTGGAGGCCATCATCAAGGTGAGCTCCATGTTTACACTTCAGGGAAACAATTAGTCTAAGAAGTGCATTCTGTCACTGTGTCTTTGGGCAAGACACAAAGTAGCAGACGCTGTTGGTGTAAACCACATCTCTATCATCATGTCAGATATCTCCAGGGCAGCTGTGACCACAAAAGTAACATAGCACGGTGTGTGAAGTGCAGAGTGAGTGAATAATGCAACATAAAATGGATTTGGTATTTTGAGATGCGCTACATAAATCCAATTATTATGATCTGACCCTGGGGATGTAACCATATGCAATCTGGTATTATCACAGTGCGACACTCAGCGTGAGATTTTGTGCAGAATACAAATATCAAGTTTATTTAATAAGAGGCTTTTTCCCTTAAGATTTTAACCATCCAGTTTTAAAGGATATCCACATTGCAAGTAGATAAAGAAGCTAAATAGTCTTTTTTTAAAAGGTACTATCTCAAAGTACATGAATGTACTTACAGTACATTATCAGTGTATTGCCTATCCCCAGCTCCACACACACACAATCTGTTTACTACCACATTCTCTGAGCCAGAAACATGGAGTGGAGTAATCCATACATAACAAAGCCTGCATCAATGAATAGTAGAGTGAATAAAAGACCAGTTTGAAACGGGCCTGGCTCGGACCCACACTGCATCACTGTACTATTGCACACTGCAGGACTTTTCATGGCCAACCGCCCCGGCCTCCCGTAAAGCAGAGGACAATGGGAAGAGGCAGCGGTGAGCTCGATGCTTATTGAACTGGGCAGTGGTGAAACTCAGTCTGATAATGGATGGATCAGGCACTCTCGCAGAGCAGAGCCGAGTGAGCACGTGCCATAAGTGCTGCACTGTAAACATTAGCACACAGGCTAATTGTGTTTAGGCTATCAGGTGTCAAGATCTTCTGCAAGCACCTATTGTTACAACTGTAGATGTGAAGGTATCCAAGTATCACTCTGCTGCTGTGTACTACGTGGGCTGGATTACAAGGGTTGTAGAATTGTTGATGATGATTGGAAACAGGAATCTAATTTGAAATCATGTGTATAAGTCATTAGGTCACTGATCTCACTATACTGTAAAACAACATAAAACAATGCACATTAACAGTATTTTATTTTATCTGCACTGAGTTAGACTTTTCCAAATCAGGAGGAAGAGCTATTTTATCCAGCTGTATTTATGTATGATGTATTTCATTATTTGTATAGGTAAAACAATTAAATATTAAAATCTATGCCCTTTAATTCACTATTTCTGCATATAATTGAATATTCTTGCCTCATTTTGCTGCTTTAGTGAAAATATAGTTTCCCCTAATGCATCTGGGACTATGATGAATGCACTAAACTTTTACCCTGTTTATTTATGCTAATACCCATGAAAATGCATAAATAGATACATTTTTTCCATGTATTTTATTGCTACTGACTTTTATGTGTGTGTTTTATCTTTTTCTGATACTGTGTTTGGTGGAATTCAAGATTAGCATGTAATGTTGTCTTCTGCGCCAAGTCAATCTTCTATGGATCTGAAAAAATCTAAAAAACATCTCTATTTGGAGTAGAGTTTGATATCCTGAAGCAGATTTGATTAGGCCGGTCCTCCTCCATTTTAAACTCCTTCCTCGATCTCTTGTGTGTTGTGACGTGTGAATGCAACCCATGTGTTTTTATTTCCGTCGAATCTCCTGACAATCCTTTTTATTACGTAGAATTCAATACATTGTAAACGAAAATAGAAGAGTTTCCACCGTTACATTTTACGAGGCCCAGGTCTATAAACCTAATGCTTGTTTACAACTCCACCCTTCCAGCTTAATTCACTAATGGATGAAACACATAAATATCACTTTATGTTCACACCTCAGACTCAGCTGCTTTCTTGCAGACATGCACTTTGATCACCACAAAACATTTAATTACACACATAGGATCAAGGAAAGTGAAATATATTGCCCAGAGGAACCATGGCAGTAAAACTCGTGTACAAAGTCAAGTAATCCACAAACTTTGGGTTCGACTAAACACCTGCCAATCCATATTATGTTTGTTTTTGTTTTTGTCGGGAGGAGGGCATGACTAAAAGTATGAAATGGCAGTGAAGAGTGGAACTGTCAGACCTGATTATTGAACCCAGGGTGCTGAAACCTGGTTAACTGGCAGCTCTTTTTAATATGTGAGAAGTTAGATCAGCAATATCATAAAATGTAATTATGTAAACATCTGCTGACAGGTGTAATAAGAAACACTTGACTTTAATAAGGGCAGTGCACTGTAATGTCACAGGGCAATTGCACTATTTGTACAGCCCTGGAGGCAGCACACGTTCAGCTTTGGACTGTTTCTCACCGGAAAGTGGCAAATTTACCTAGAAGGCACTAAAATTGTCCAAACATTACAAAGCACAGTATTAAAACACAATGTACACAGTTTAGTAAAAAGAATAGTTCACTGAGTGTTTAGTCCAACTTAAAGTTCTATTCATTTGTAAATTTATTTTTTTTTTTTTACCGATTTACTTCATGCAGGACAGTCAGAGCAGATGTTGCAAAGATGTCACGGCTGTCTGCGTCATATTGGATCAAACATTTCTTTTCTTGCTGTTCAGACTGGAAAATAACAAGATCTAGTTAAATTAAAATGACTTAAATTAAGAACATTTTACTTTATTTGAGTCAATTCAACTTGACAAATACAATGTTCAACCAATGGAATAAGTGTGTTTTTCTTAATTCAAGCAACATTAGATTTTGTTTCTTATTTTAAGTGCAAAAAGTTGCTGTTTCTCTTATTTTAAGTGTAGCAAGATGTATTTTCATATTCTAAGTACAAAAAGTCTTGTTCCACTGGTAGATATTTTTACTTGTCAAGTGAAATTTACTCAAATCATGATAAAACATTCTTACTTCAAGTCATCTTAACTTGGCTAGATTTAGTATTTTGCAGTACACAGAATTCATTTGGAAGACACTCTAAATTACCCAAACATTGATTTACTGCTGATATTTGGAACAGTTAATGCATGTTTCCTTTGGAGTTTACATTTGTTTAGCAACTAGAATCAATGTGGCGACAGGTGGCATCATCTCATCATCAGTCACCTCATTGGGTTTTACAGGAATCCAAACAACACAACATTTAAATCAACAACCAAACAGGCACGGGGCATCCCTTCGTTCTGCACCAGCAAAACTCCTGCAGGCCTGGTGCTGGAGTGGTAGACTGGTGGCAGGCTGTGCTTCCACGGTTGGTCCAGCCTTTCTCTGCTGAATAATGGATGAGGCTGAAGGAGTGCAGAGCTAAATGGAGAAAAGAGGAGAAAAAGAAAGGACAGATGGTTGGTGCCAGGCAAGCGCTATGACAGAGCCGTGCTGGCACAGACTCATGGCTCATCAAAACACCATAGAGACAAATAAACCCAAGTATTAGAGTTATAGAGGTACTTTAGACATAAAGCACTTTTTAAAGCGAGTATGTTTATCACATCGCATTTACTCTATTTGAGTTAAGTCAAGTGCCCATTAGTAAGGAGGTTTGTCCTTCCTTCCTCCACTTAGCCGCACCCTGTCTTTGTCCCTTACTTTTACTTTGTAACTTTGAGTCTTACAGGAACAGGTGTGAGCTTTCAGGTTGTGACTTGGACTTGAATCTGATAAATGGACTTGACTTGGGATCTGACCTGGGCTAGCATCTTTATGACAGATTAATTCTCTCTGTTTAATTGGATCATGCCCCAGGAACATGTCCCTTCCCGCGTCTATTTGTCTGTTTTAACATTAGCTACTTGCCCTGATGTATAAAATTAAAAGCCAACTAGGAGCAGTGCCACCCACTCACCTCACTCCAGCTGACCACCAAACCAGATCTAATCACCCATATGAGGATTAGACCACAAAACCCACTACCGCTCAGTATAAAAACTATAAAAATAACTTTTCCACGCAGCATCCCAGAATGGATTCAACCACCAAGTGACGCAGTTTCAAGCCCGACTTTGGACACTCTTAAAAGTGTGCTGGCAAACATCACGCACTCTTCATGTAAGTTTGTGTTTGGAGGTTTGTGGTTCGAATCCAACTCTCGACATAATCATCATTGGTTGAGCGCTGAGATTCCAGCTCCCAGGGATGTAATCATTATGTCTTTGGGCAAGACACTTAACCCCCCTCACCCCCTGCGTAGATTTTTGTATGAATATGTGTGTGAATGGATGAGTGTTTCCTTGGTGTAAAGAGCTTTGAGTGCCTTGAAAGTGGAAAAGAGCTTTATAAAAATGTGATCATTATTGTTTAGCTTGATGTATAAGTGTGAAAGTCCAAGAAAATGTACAAGGATAAAATAATGATGGACGATGTGACTAAGGAAAATGTTTAAAGTTAATGAAAGCACAAGAGAGAAATTGTACCATGCATATGACTTATTAATTGGTGACTTGGATTGGTTTTTGGGTTGGGGAACGATTATTAAAGAAATTTTAAATTTTTTGATCTTTGAAAGGAGCAGGGTTTATACGATTTATCTTCTTCCTGTTCCTTTTGTTCATGCAGCAAAGACAAGGAAAATAATCGTAGAAACATGTATTTATGTTAATTTTCATATTTTTTGTAGTTGTTCTCTTTAAATTGATTCCAACAAAATAATATCATGAGCAATAAATAAATAAATTAGTTCCACTGCAATGACATGTTACACAAAGTTGTCTTCCAGATTGACAAAACTGAACTGACTAACTGTCTTGACATCACCGTCTAGTGTATTTATGAGAAAGTGTTTTTTTTGCTGAAGGCCACCCTAAGCGAGCACAGATGCGAGCAGTGTCACAGATATGAAGTAGTGAGATCAAAGGTCAAGTTCTTACGGAGAGTCATGACCTCTCCATCTGGCTGGGTTCATTACTCATACATAACTATTTGTGTCGTGCTAAAATTATACACCAGTTTTAATTAGTGGTGTAATAAAAGGAGATGGGTTTCGATGTAAAAATAGAACTTCATGGAGGAAGAGGAGGCTGGTGATTCTGCTGCTGTGGTGGAGTTGGGTATAGGAGGATAGAGAAGAGAGAAAAGACTTATATGGGGGTTGGTTGACAGGCAAAGGTAGCTTACTGTGACTGTCTGATAAAGTAGTAGTAGAAGCAGGAGGAAGAAATCGAGTCTTTCTTGTTAAGGAATCTCTCAATCATGTGTAACAGTGTTGTCACTGTACTAAAATATCCAAGCCGGAGTCCCGGCTCGATTCTGAAAGCTTGATCAATGTTGATGTAATGTTAAAAATACACAACCACAACATGAAATGGATTGATGCTGTTGATGGATTGGTGCTATATATATATATATATATATATAAAACTACAAACTCAGTTACCGTCTTATAATTGTTTAAAATGTAATGTAACACAGAATAAGTTCACTACATGGTTCTACTATTTCTACGTTCAAGTATCACTTAGTCAAATCTGGTGTCACAAGTACTAGCCAGGTTGTCAGAAGTATCAGAAATCAGACACTAATCAATACTAAAACTAGTACTGAGACTAGATACTCATTTGAACGAAGTCCATCCATCCATCCATTTTCTTCCACTTACCCGGGGCCGGGTCACGGGGGCAACCATCTAAGCAGGGACTCCCAGACTTCCCTCACCCCAGACACTTCCTCCAGCTCCTCCGGGGGGGACCCCAAGGTGTTCCCAGGCCAGCTGAGAGACATAGTTCCTACAGTGTGTCCTGGGTCTTCCCCGGGGCCTCCTTCCGGTGGGACATGCCTGGAACACCTCCTGAGAGAGGCACCCAGGAGGCATCCGGAACAGATGCCCAAGCCACCGCAGCTGCTCCTCTCGATGTGGAGGAGCAGCGGCTCTACTCCGAGCTCCTCCCGTGTGACCGAGCTCCTCACCCTATCTCTAAGGGAGCTCCCAGCCACCCTGCGAAGGAAACTAATTTCGACCGTTTGTATCTACGATCTCATCCCTTCAGTCATTACCCAGAGCTCATGATCGTAGGTGAGGGTAGGAACGAAACTAAAAAAAAAAATCACATCAACACTTTCCTGAAAAGCTGATGATCTTGAGCTGTATCAGAACAAGTGTAAGAGCACAAAGACTATACGCCCATGGACCATTATGAAACATATCTGGATGACGGACTTACACAGATATAAAACTGGATGGTAAAATTAAAGAAAGTACTGTTACTTGTTGAAAATCACATAATATATGAGTTTTTTTAATTATCATCATGGTATTGCAATACAGTAGGTATTATACTAAGTCTGTTCCTTAGTATCGAAATCGAGTTTGAAGTTTTTGTATCGTGACAACTATTAATATCCAGGTCTAGACTGTAGTTAACATTATGAATGACCCGACCGAGCATATGATGACGCATGATCCACTATTCAGACCACAGGTGTTTGAGTCCGTGTGTCCTTCAACCACCTTCTCCACAGTGTGCCACTTTGTGCCATCTGTTCCTGTGCCCCTCTTCCCCTGTCACGCCCCTGCCCCTGTCTGTGTCTGGTCCTGCTGTGCCACCCTCCTGGTCAAAGCTCATTATTTCTCTGTCTCTTTCCTCAGCACTCGGTGGACGCAGTGAACGCTGGAGTGAACCCGACCGGGGACACCTCCTACAACTCGAGCCATTGGGACCTGGGCAGTGCCTTCTTCTTCGCTGGGACGGTCATCACCACCATCGGTATGGCAACACACAAACAAACAGTAGCCCGCTGGATACTCTGGCTTAATGAGGTTTCTAATAGAGAAGTGTCGGAAGAGAATCCATAATCCTGAGTCAGTTTTTCTGTACAGTAGATTTTTCTTCATTTGGCAAACCCTGAAGTGCATTTTAGTCATTTTGACACTTATTCTGTATGCAAAAAGTAGAAATGGACTGTAATGGTGCTAATAATGGTATTACTGATGTTAGGGGATTCTTTTATAACAGTACTGGCCAGATATTGACCATTTTCTGATATTGTTTTTTAGCTGTAAAGACATTTGTGTGCCCATATTGTATTTCCAATTTGTGTCTTTTTAAACAGTCTAGTGAGTTCAAGAGCAATTAAGCTAAAATCTGGATGCATGTTTAGTACACAATCACAGCAATTTAGATGACAGATATTGGTATTGGCCGAAAAAGATCCATATTACATAATTCCTCGTCAAATGGAAAGTGAGCTCAAGTTAGTCACAGTAAATAATAGTAAATAATACTATTTGAGCTCATAATCATTTTAGAGTGTCTCACGTAAGTCACAAGTCTTTGATCTCAAGTCTGAATCAAATCCCAAGTCAAATAAAGGCAAGTCCAAGTCGAGTCTCGAGTCACTGGCCCATAAGTCCAAGTCAAGTCAAATCATCTGCTTTGAGCTTCAAGTCATTTAAAATCTTTAAAACAAAGTACCAAATCTATCTTAGATTTTTGCAATTTATGCAACTTTTAAGGATTGGACTTTAAAAAATCATAGTATATTTATATATGAGTATTTATAGAGTATGTAAGAGTTGTACAAATGTTAATTTTTCCTTTTTAAATGTCTTGACAAGATGTGAATCATTACGGTCAGAACAGAAAGAATTCAGATTTAAAAGTGCTTCTCAAGTCTTCTCAAGTCACAGTTCAAGTCAAGTCCCAAGTCACTGACCTTCAAGTCCAATTTGAGTCCCAAGTCTTACTCCATTTTATCAAGACAAGTCTCAAGTCCTAAAAAGAGTAACTCAAGTCTGACTTGAGTCCAATTCACAACCTGCAAGTCTCCACCTCTGCAGCGTGTTACTTCTTCACTCTGTAAATGAAAACTGCAGGTTCTCAGTTATTTGCCTGGTCAAAAAGGGTTAGATTAAAGAAAAAGAAACTCAAATGAATGAACTATTAGTCTTTGGTTCATAGTTGTTGGAACACTCTAAACTCTATAAACTTGTATTCCTGTGTCACCTGCTTGTTCCTGTAGCAGAGGTGTTTCTGCATAAACACAACAGCACCTCATTAGCAGCAGGAGCAGATGCAGTGCTAATGAAGGAGGTGTGCTCATGAACCTGTTAGCTGGATTCATTAACGCCGTACCTGCTCACGGCTCCCCTGCTGTGGTGTTTCTCCTCAGGCTACGGGAACATCGCTCCGAGCACAGAAGGGGGCAAGATCTTCTGCATCCTCTACGCTATCTTCGGCATCCCCCTCTTCGGCTTCCTGCTGGCAGGGGTCGGCGACCAGCTTGGAACCATCTTTGTCAAGAGCATCGCCCGCGTGGAAAAGATCTTCAAAGTGGGTGACTGACACTTAACATGACAGTATTGGCAGGTTTCAGATTATTGAATGTGATGATGTCGTACTCCTAGATGGAGGGCAAGATTGATTGATTCCCTATTGATTACACTGTACTTTGCCAAGTATTAAAAAATGTAAATTCACAATATGGAACCTGATCATTTCTATTATTGGCCAGACCAAAGACCATACTATATTACAACAAAAATCAGCAGTTGAACAGTAATTTTACCCATCACCCATCTTTATTAAAAGAAACAAAACTGAAACCAGCAATATACACCGCAAAAACTAAAATCTAGCCAAGTTAACACTACTTCAATTAGAAAGTTTAAGTAAATTTCACTTGACAAGTAAAATTATTTGCCTTTTACTTGACTTAGACTTAAGACTTTTTGTACTTAAAATATGAAAATACATCTAGACTTAAAAATCAGAGGTGGAAAAAGTACAGAAAAATTGTAATTAAGTAAAACCATCTTTACTTTGCTTAATTCCTACTCAAGTAAAAGTAAAAAAGTACTTCCTTTAAAATATAATTTGAGTAAGTTACTTAGTTACTTTCAATTATTTGATGTAATAAGAATGAGTCTTAAACCTAATCCAGCACAAGTAGTTTTAATCAACTTTTAGGTGATACAGTGCAAACCTTGTTCAGTGCAAACTTTGTACATTTTAAAGACAACTTAGCTCAATAACACTAACTCTTTTAACACGTGCATTATTATGTTATTCCCTATTTTGTGTTTGAACTCAAAATAGCTGTCCGAGGTTTGGCCAAGTGTTTCATTCGCTTTCCTCTCGAGAATTATTCAATGCACCTTCTTCTTGAATATCATCCATGACGTTGTCTGTCTGTGGCTCGGCACCAGCATCATCCAAGCTGATCCAAGATGATGATTATGTACGATGACTGTACATTTTATACTGAATGAACAGTCATTGAAACAAAATCTAATGTTGCTTGAATTAAATAAAACAAACTTATTCCATCAGTAGATAATTTTACTTGTCAAGTTGAATCTACTCAAATAAAGTCAAAAGTTCTTAATTTAAATCACTGTAATTTAGCTAGATTGTATTTTGGAGTGTATGTCTGAACCCATGTGAATACTGGTAGAATTTAAGAGAGGCCGATATTGACAGAAAAAAAAAAAAAAATCATATATTTTTCTTTACTGGAGGATCACAATACTGATTATCAGAGTAGGGCTGTAGTCAACTAAAGAAATTCTTGGTCAACTAACAACATACCCTGCTGATCGACCCGACTGTAAACTATACTAGACTGCAAAAGCAGGTGTGACAAAAGCTTTAGGAGCTATTAAGTAACTTTATTATCTATCGCACTCAAACTGCACCCACAAGACAACAAGTTTAACAAAACTATTTATATAGAAAAGTAATAGGAAACAGTGTATTTTTATGTAAAGATAAGTAAAACTCAAAATTCTCACGTCATATACTGTATCTTCTCCTTTCTTTTATTGTCCCATATAAATCCTCATAATCTAACTAAAATAATTTGTCAACAATAGTAATACAAAGTTTGGTTGACTAAGACATTACAGACAAGTGAATTGCCTAAAGGCTTACAGTCCAATACCCATCTGAAATGTGCTAAAATGTGTTGTTGAGTTTTAAAGGGCCCATATTAAACAGTTTTATGATCAATTTTATAATGATATTTCCTCATCAAAAATATACCCTAAGTTGTGTTTTGTTTCATTCACATATTAGGCTGAGTTCTTCTCTCAAACAGAAAGCTCTCTGCACCACTTTGTGATGTTATGTGGTAATACATAAGTGCTCCACTGTGTTTTTAAACTCCATGTGCCTTCACTAGAATAATTTGGATTATTTCACCTGGAATTGCCAAAAAACTACCACTTCATGACATCACAAGGTGGAACAGAGCATTTTAAGTCACTCAAACTGTAAACGAAACAAAACACAACTTGAGGTATGTGTTTGTGGAGGTAACAACATTATGACATGGTTTAAAGTTCTCAAGAGTCACATTTGCGTAACATAGGCCCTTTAATTAAACCTAACTGCAAAATTACACATAAAACTGCTGAAATATCACTCATAATTAATCCCCTTTTGAGTAAAATAGAAGAAAGGATGATGATCCACAAAGAACACATCACATTTTAGAAACTACTGTATGTTTGTCTTTAATAATACTGTGAGGTAGTATATTACTGGTATCTTTAATTACCATATTTCATATAACAGCACACGCCATAAAATCAGGCTTGTCAAATTGATTCAATATTAACTAGATAAATGCTAGTTTTATTGACCCATAATAGCCTTTATTAAAGAGAAGCAATATCATTTTATGGTGTGTAATTAAAACAACAGTGTTTAACCCGAGACATAAAACTGATCAATACCCACATGAGCTCATGATGATCTCACTTCCCACAGAAGTCTGTTCTTACTTGCATTCTTTAGCACGTCTCTTCTCTCAAACCTTCACAAGTCATGGTGCTTTATTGTTGTTTATGGGGGCAGACTGCTCTCAAGTGAACCTGACAACAATGACAATTCTTCACAGCTTGATAACTTTTCAACTTCAACTAATCAACTTTTTTCTGTGGGTAGAGATATTTTAAACCTGGGTTTTATTGTTTGTGGGATTTCTTGTATAGGTTCACAGTGAACAGTGGGATACCCTAAAGTAAATCTATAGTTTACTGTACTTATTACTCTCACAGTTACTTTAAAGCGCATATTACAGGTTGTACTAATTTTGGTTACTTATTTTTGTAGAAATTAAATAATTATATTGAAGATTTTACAAAAAAAAATCATGCTCAATTGTCCAGATTTCTTTTCTTTAGTCAGAAAGCAAATGAGACAAGACCGTCACAAAACAAGACTGTCAGTAAACACTACTATATATTTCAAATTTTCCAGATTTGTAAAATGTTGGTAAAGTTTAGGATACCTGTCTCGTTGGACATGTACACTGTTACTTGGCTATCATGCTGTAAACAAGGGACAATTCTCACCAAATTACATAACAGGTATTATTTGATAGTTTTCTTAAATTAATACTAAAACTGCTATAATTATTTTTTCCGTGTGTGAAAATTATACCCTGTATTTTGAATGGGCTTTTGTGCATTGATAACAATACAAATGGTTAGACAGAGGGTTTCTTTTTTTGAATTCAAAGTTAGATTTTATTTGCATTATGTAGGCCAAAAGTTTGGATACACCATTTCATTCAGTGTCAAATGATAACCATATATATCAAGCGAGATATATAGAATTAGGTAGTAAAGAGGGGGGAAAAAAGTAAATAACTAAAAATACTTTTCAACAAAGCAAAGGATGGTTAGCCAAGCTGGTGCCACCTAGTGCTCCCACTCAATTTCATTTCTCTCCAGCGACTAGGTCAGGAATCAGAATACACTTGGAGGTTCGCAAAAACCCTGGAAGTGCAAGTTCAGGCACCAGCCAATCAGCGAAGAGCCATACATTTTGTGTTGGCAACAATTCCCGAGATCAAGGATTTAAAGCTGGAACAAAGAGAATGTTTGGTGAATTTTGTCAAGGGGAAAGATGTTATTGCCCTTCTTCCTACGGGATTTGGGAAAAGCTTAATATACCAGTTAGCCCCATCAGTGGTGCATTACATACGTCATGCCCAAATAATTGGTTAAATTAAAAAAGTACCCGCCTACCATCAAGCGAACGAATTTTGGCTGATGAATGCCTGCATTGAGGATTTGAAGATAATATTAAGTAGAGTAATTTACCTTTTTCCTTCTCTACATAATTTCATATATCTTACTTCATATATCTGATGTCTTCTGTATGTGTATAAAATGTAGAAAGATGTAAAAATATGTCTGACTATGCTTCTGTTGTAGGGAATATTATACCTCTGATGATGTAGGTCAAGATAACAAGGACTCACAATTTCTTTAACAACGTCCACTTGATTGACATAAACTATGATCATTATTTACCACAGATACAATCACGCCAAACCAACTTAGAAAGAAGACGACATATTTAGAAAAAAACAAACATGAAATTCAAGTCATATGGTCGCTCTCTCTCTTTCGCTCTGTAAAATTAAACATGAGACTTTTTCTAACACAAAGTCTGCATTTCTCTCCATTGCATCAGTGACTCACCTTCTGTGCCTGTGACGTGTTTCTTTTTCAGAACAAATCCAATCAGATCAGTCAGACAAAGATCCGCGTGGCGTCCACTCTGCTCTTCATCTTGGCCGGCTGCATCCTCTTCGTCACCATCCCGGCTGTTATCTTCAAGTACATCGAGGGCTGGACCGCACTGGACTCCACGTACTTTGTGGTCATCACCCTCACCACTGTGGGGATAGGGGACTATGTGGCAGGTCAGATCATATCTCACACTAGGGCGTATTAGGGCTGTCTCGAGGTTATTTATTAAAGCTTCTACCATGAGATGTTATTGCTTTGCCTGGAATGTCCCTCACTATGGCATTAAGCGTAACCATTTTATGTTCAATCAATTACAGGCTTAGAATTGCTTAGAATAGTGTTTCCTAAACTTTTTTTCTGGGGACTCATATTTTACACGTCACAAACCTTCGCGAGTCAATAGGCATTATTCGTAAATAACAAAATAAAGGTGGATTTGACCATTACTGAACATTAATGAGGATATTTTATTGCTGACTGAATGATTGTGTCTCTCTGAACAATGAAAAACAGTAACGGAACCTTAAGCCTATTTAGGACATTAAATGTAGCCCATTTATTTTTCTTTTCAACAGTCAATTGAACCAGCAATATTGGAACAAAATAGTCAATAAAATAATTACAAAAAGATTAGAAATTATTCAAAACATGTCTTAACATTTCAAAATTTCTAACGACATAGGTAGACCTGTCTGCGTTTTGTAGAACGTTCCAGTCCGGGTGCAGGAGGAGACGCAGCAGCAGATCAGGCACAGCATTCAGTCTGTTTCTGTGCTTTGTCTTCATTTTTGTGAGCACAGAAAATCTCATGTATCAGAACTGTATATTGTAGACCCACATGCAGATCGTGACAAGGCGACCCTAAAAAAAAATTCTCTTGCCCAGTCCCCAGTCTGTGTGTCTGTGTGTGACCCAGTCTTTGGGACACAATGGCTTAGAAACATGCCTTGAAACACATGTATTCTCACTGTCAGTGGGGTCGTTGCTTCACAGATCTGACCTGTAACTTGGCCTAGTGGTGTCATCTGCTTGTTTCCATGGAGATAGATATGTTTCATGTAATACTTTGGGACATTCCAGGCAACACAATAGCATCTCCATTGAAACAAGCAGGTGACAGACACCCCAACCCCAAAGTTACATATGGCACCTTTAAGCACACAAAAAAAGTTTGAATTAGACTCTGTTGCTTCTAAAATCTTACAGTTTTAAGGTTTAGCGTAATTTGGTTCATTCTGTTATTGTCTTATCTCAGTTACAAGAACTTTTTTTTGGGGGGGGCTGCAGTAACTCAGTTGGCAAGAGCGTGTGTCCACTGATGAATGCTGTTGTTGTGTCCTTGGGCAAGACACTTAACCCACCTCGCCCCCAGTGTCTGCTTACACTGGTGTATGAGTGTGTGTGAGAAATTTCAGAAACCGCAGGTAAGATTTTGATTGAATTATAATGCTGATTTATTCTTGATTACAAAGCACTGAAGATGATGTCCCATTCGTTTATAATTTGTTGTTTTGGTTCTCAAGATGATTATCCAATTAGAAAGCAGAATGAGGCTCACATAAGTCACTCATTTAAGTTGCTGGCTCCAGTGCTGAAAGCTGAAAAGTACTCATACTGATAAAAATTACAAAAGAAGACCTTCACCTTTCCTCAGTGCTTTTGAGTGGTCTTGATTAATAGCAGAGGTAGCATAAGATCACTTGTTAATATAAAGAAATATAGAAATTTGTGGTATCAAAATTGGCATTGAGTACAGAGCCTTACAGAGCGTAGAAACTGTAGTAGGTGGGTTGGAAATGTTAGCTTTTTGACATCATTACCTTGGAGCACAGATGTCTTTATAATCATCAGAATCTGTTATAGTCACTGTGAAGGGGCTTTTTAGAAAACAAACCAGTCATGTGATCCATTTAAAGAAATAAAATGCCATTTCTTCCTGTTTCTGCTCTAAAAGCCTGTGGGCTGCAGGCCACTCTGCCTTCCCAAAGACAATCTCTATTAGATTTGTGTCTGTCACTCACACAACAGTCCCACAAGAAAGAGTTAAGTAACCATCCATTTATTCTCTCTGTAGTGACTCCTTTTGACAATTTGGTTTCTATTTCAGATCATATTGAAAACCTTTACACTACAGTTAAAGGATAATACTTAAGAAAAATAATGTTGTATTTTTTGTTGTTTCAGGGGGAAACCGGCGTATCGAGTACAGGAAGTGGTACCGTCCTCTGGTGTGGTTCTGGATCCTGGGGGGTTTGGCTTACTTTGCTGCAGTGTTGAATATGATTGGGGACTGGCTCAGGGTTCTGTCCAAGAAGACCAAAGAGGAGGTACGGATCCTGCTTTAGATGGACCAGTTTATTTTATCTGCAGATTTTGATGTTAATACTCTGTACTCTGAGATAATCTAATAGCACATTGTTCATATGTGTGGTGTTCTGACAGTGACTGTTTACTCTCATGCAGGTTGGGGAGATAAAGGCTCATGCTGCAGAGTGGAAAGCAAACGTCCGTGCTGAGCTGAGGGAGACTCGGAGGAGGATGAGTGTAGAGGTCCATGACAAGCTGCAGCGGGCGGCCACTATCCGCAGTATGGAGCGCAGACAGCTGGGGCTGGACCAGCGCGCTGTATCTCTGGACATGCTGTCCCCAGAGCGCCGCGCCATCTTCAACAGTCTGGACGCTAACACGAACAGCTACAAGACCTCCTCCCAAGAGAGCATCGACACCAAGCTCAACAACCTGCGTCTGCGTGGGGCGGAGCAGAGCGAGCGGAGGAACCAGCAGGCCACGTCAGAAGACAACATCTTCAACCGCCTGGGCTCTGTCACGAAGCTGGCCAAACGCAGCAGGAACAGAGACCTGAAGAAGAACATCCCCGATGAAGCACGGCGCCCACACAGTGAGGCCTATGGGTGCAGCTCTCCCATGTTTGAATGTAGCACTCCCTCCAGCGATGACAAGTGCAAGGACGAGCCAGAGACGAGGATAAGGAGTGTAACATGAGCCTGTCCGACTTCCCGCTGTATGTGCCTCAGAACTCTTTCACTGTGGAGCCCCCCAGAGACAGCCAGAGCACCATCAGACTGGAGGAGCTGCAGGGAGACATGGGGCTGTAACTGACCTACAGTGTTTTTAATGTCAATATAGTGCCTTAGGCCCCTCTGTGAGACAGAGACAGGGGCACCATCCTGTTGTCAAGTCCACTGTAATGTACACATGCTGTGTGGCCTCCATGGGTCCATGATGTAGACTCTGTCCACTCTCTGGAGGACATGAAAACTCTGGTAGAATAGTGCATGTGTGTAATGGTCACCTGGTGATGTGCCTACTGTTCAAACATCATGTGGCACCATCTTCACCTCTGTTCCAAAGCTACTGTCTGTACCTGTGAGGTCCATTTCAACAGTACTCCAGTCTTTTTGGTGAGTCCACATTCACATTCGGTCCAGTGCAGGGCAGAGGCAGCACAGAGCCAAAGTCTGATTCCACTCTCACTCTCTCATTCAGTAACAATAACACTTTGCTGTGTAACGTGCATTGGAGTCCATGGATGTATTTCGTCTCTTGATAATGAAGTCAAGTAATTCTGTTGTATCAAATGTTTTAACTATAACGCTGTGACTATGAAAAGTATAGACACATCGGACTATCTACAGTAGAAGTGAGGTAGCTGCCATGCTGTTCATCTGCCTATTCCACTGTCTTTGTAAAACCTCACCTGTCCACCTCACCCGTCCACCTCACCTGTTCCCTTCACCTGTCAACCTCTTCTGTCCTGTCGTGTGCATGGTCCCTGCCTGCTCCTGTCACTCACTGTGTCTCATTGTAACCTCTCAACACTATCTCAGGGCTCAGGCTCAATTCATGTGAGGCCTTCAAACACCACTTAGAATGATCTGAATTCAGAATATTGATTATATATCGATAGTTTTGCATGAAAATATTGTTTTTATAGACCTGGATTATATGACATTTTGAGGTATTTCACGTTTTTATTTCATTTTTTCAAGCCAGTGGGAGCAGAAAATTGCAGTAGCCATAAACAAAACCTATTCTACTGGCAGACTTTTGAAACCAGTCAAATAATAAAGGTCTAAATAATTAACATTCTGAATTCAACTCATTTTCACTAATTTATTTAAACAGTGCAGAGCCTAATGAAAGGTGAAGAAGAAAACAGAGAATGCTACTCCAAAAAACACTATGCAGATGAACAGTGGCCACTAAATATGAACTTTTTACCACTGGACCCACAGAAGAATCCATGACCTCCCTCTCCCCAGACACTTCGCACCGCACCTTAAGAGTAATCTCACAGTATTCAAGAATTGTCTGTAAAAAGCAGTTCACAAATAATGTACAGGGAAGCTCAAAATGCAGTACTTTGTTAAATGAGACATGGACATTGTAACTTCATAATAACTACATCTTAATTAGCCTTAATGAAGTATGAACAAAGAGTTTATTAAGATTTATTCAGGCTACTTCTTTACTACTTCTTATTTAAGCAGGTAGGGTATTAATTAAAAGCTATTTTCCTGATGTATTTGACCAAAATTTAACTTTCTCCAAAGATATATTGCAGCTCTTGAGGTCAAAAAGTGTGTAATACGTATAAAGAGTTTTATTGTCTGAGAATCAGGAAGTGCCCATTAGCATGCTAGTGGTTGTTAGCTTTACCGTTACTGTAAAACTCCACTCTGGGGTCACTAAATGTTGTGAAAAGTGCTTATAAACTCATCATGGTGAATATTTAAGATGCTTGGAATGCATAAGTGAGGAAGAATTCAGAAAAACTGCAAACTGTTTATAAAAGAGATCTGTTTTTAAGGTAGTAAAAATCAGGTATGGTGCATTTAAGCCTGAATAATTCTTAATAAACTAATAGCTCATTATGAATTAAGTCTTTGCTCATGCTTTATTAAGATTATTTAAAGTGTAGCTATTGTAATGTTCCCCGACTGTCCCCATAACACTACATATCTTCAGGTCTAGTGTGAATGCACCTGAAGCCCTAGAACTGGCACTTTTTTAAACGCTTTAAAGAACTCCAGAAAGACTATATTAAAAAACAATGTAAAAGAAGAAGATGAAAGAAATGGCATGCTCTGTGCAGACCCCGCGATGTCCATGGTGTTGACTGTAAACCACCACATGCTTTGAACACCTCTCCAGCACTTTGGTTTTTACGCAGATGTCAGGACACAGCCGTATGCAGACTCTGCTTCAAGTAATGTGCAATCACTGTTATGCCTTTGAATAAAAACATCTCACAGATTCAACTACCTGCTCTCTCTGTGTCATATATTACAGCGATGTATAGATAAGTTTAAAGAAGATATTTGATCTTTTGGGGAGTCAAAATGTTGCTTCCTCATCAAAAATATATCTGGAGTTTTGTTACATTCACACATTAACACGCAGAACACTCTCCATTGTGTTTTTAAACTCCATACACCTTTACTTGAATCATTTGGATGATTTCAGTACTGGAATTGTCGATTTCTACTGAACTAAAGGTAAAAGGTAGCTGTTAACTTGAAATCTACGTCTTTGTGACATCACAAGGTGGAGCAGAGCATTTTAAGCTTTGGAAACATAAACAGACTAATAATAAAGGATTACTGAAATGTGTGAATGAAACAAAATACAACTCCAAGTAGGTTTTTTGATGAGGCAACATTATAACCTGGCTAAAAGCTTACAAGAGTCAATTTTGCGTAATATATAAAAAAAAAAAAAGTGTTCCTATGGGGAATTTAGTATCAAGCTAAAATATGCCCTAAGCAACTTTTCATAGGGAGAATCCACCACTTGCTTGTTTCAAAGAAGATGTCATTGCATTGCCAAGAATGTTTCAGGTTTTCTTCATCTTAAAGTCTATATAAAAGTCTATATCCATGTTGACAGTCAGGTGTCACAATCACGATGTTCACTACATAGGTGCCGATCCCACGGGTGCCGAGGGGCTAGAGCACCCATTCGAATTCCCCCCGATCTTAAACTGTCTCTTATTTTTGAGAGTGCTTGCTTAAAATGAGCCGTAATCTCTGTATATCTCTTTCTCTCTGTCTCTCTGCCTTTCTGTCTGGATGTCTATCTGCCTCTCTATCACTCCCTTTCTCTAGTCTGTCTTTCTGTCTCTCTCAGTCTGGTTCTCTCTCTCTCTTTCTATCTCTGTCTCTGCGCTGCACACAAAAGCTATTCACTCAGACACAAGACGAAATCTGGGACATTAAGTGAGACAAAGACGCAAGGAACAGACAATGCAATGACAAACTCTATCCAATCTGTAAAACTCCTTGGAAATACTGACGCCCTCCTCCAGTATAGTGTCGAAAATGAAAAAAAGCTAAATGAAACCCAAACCTCACTTGAAAAAACATAAATCTGCACCTATGATTCACAATGTATTTCAAGGTATGTGTTAGCTATAATAATAAATGCAAGATAGATTTGTTTAATGTCATTGTGAAACATTTTAAGCAAAGTTTAAACATCATGAGACAATCAGGTGCGTCACGCTCTCCACTAGAAAACTTACATAGTGCGTCATTAAACACATAATTAGGGATCGGATTTTTTGAGTATTCGCAAGTTAAGAAAAAAGGGTGGGGATAAGGGATGGATGAAAACTAAATTATTCAGAGCACTCTAGCCTCAGATGTGGGACTATACAGGATTACGAAAACATGCACAGATTAATTGGAATATGACTTTGAGTAAACTAATAATGAAGGAACAGTTTATAAAAGTGAAAGTTGATTTTGCTTAACACATCCCCTTTAAATGACTCTGATTCTGATTCTGTTGTAATGTGACAGATCTGATAAATTTAGCCATATTTTAGCAAATTTTGTTAGTTAACATTTGTTACTTATTTGAAATGTTTCTAAAATAATACAAATTTCATACCAAATAAATACTTTAAAGTGGTATAATGTGGCAGAGTGATGTGCAGTCTGCAGTCATTTGGTTGGGTCAGCTTACATTTAAAACAATTGTATTACTCAGGAAGCAATAACTTCAATCCAATAAAGGTTTATTAAATAATAGGATATATACCAGAGCAACAAAATTGTAAACAAACAGGGTGAAAGTTCGTCTCCATTAGAACAATTTTAATGGAGATAATGTTGTTTCCTCATGAAAAACAGACCTGGAGTTGTGTTTTGTTCCATTCACTCATGTTTAACACACAAATCCTGCATATTTAAGATGAGTTCTTCTCTCAAACAGAAAACACTTTTCCACCTTGCGATGTCATGTGGTAATACAAGAAGAGCTCACAAGAGTCAATTTTGTGTAATATAGAACCTTCAAGTAAATACGGAAATGATATTAGAGAGTAAGAAAAGTATAATAAATAAAGTATAATGGAAGCAAAATATTGTAAACTGAATACAAATTACAGATCTGAGGAAACATCACAAAAGCAAGATATTCAGAATCCAAATCCACTGAAACAAACATAGGCATTCCTTTTTTGGGTGTCCTTGTATAGGGGAGCGGCAGAGTGGTTAGCTGATGGAAAAGGATCAGGTTCAGGTCTTTGGCTTTAACCTTGTCAGTCTGAAATAACCCAGGTTTTAGCTCAGTTTCTCTGTACAGGGAGAATAGACGCCATCGATCTTTCACCTTCAGATGTCCAGACTGTCGCCGTGATTTCAACCACAAATGACACTCAGAAGTCCAAAGAATTACAAAGAGGATTCTGTGTTTGTGCCACTGCCTTTAGATTATGTCTTGTATTATACATAGTTGTTGTGTGTAACATTGTGATATTGTATCATCAAAAGTCTCACAATAATATCATGGGCCATTACAATAGTCTCTTTGATTAAATGAATAATTATGATGCAGCAATAGCTAAAAATTGTAGAACAGAAGGAACTACATAGACCATGATCCTTTGCTCCATCTCAGTACCAGAACAAAATAACTGTTTGAAGCACTTTTAAATCTCAATTCTTTGGATTATGACAGAAGCAAAGGACTATCAAAGCATTTTACAAGGGAAATTTTGTTAGCCTTCGCAAAATATCATAATAAATCATACCTTGAGATGCCTATTGTGAAAATATGGTATTGTGAGATTTGGATATCATTACATCCT